CTGAGACAGATGTCGGAGTGGGGGATGAGGATGATTCAAGGACAGTTTCCAAGAATCAAGGACAGGATGTTCTTGGAGGAGTATGGAGACAGGAARATCATCATGAACTTGTTGATCAACCTCTACAACTACCAATGTAGTACTGTAGGACACAACCAGATCCTGTCAACCTTCATGAGGACACCAGCGGCAACAGAGGCCGACGTGGGACAACCCTACAGGAAGAACGCTCTTGCGGGGGGTTTCTTCCATGTAGGACACGATATATCCCCCCATGGCAATGACATCTTTCTTGGATGAATCCCATGGTCGATTGGTTGGAAAAAGAAAGATTAGTAACAAACATTAGTAAGCTGTAATAAGAAAATGAATTACCAAATGCGAAACGCAAGTACGAGAACAATGAAACGAATACGAAACGCTGAAACGAATACGAAACGCAGTGTTGCATCAACAAACGCTGTCGCAGCACCGCAGCACTCAACGATGCACTTACTGTTACACCGCCACCACGCACTTACTGTTACAACGCCACCATGGTTGAAGCACCGGAATGGTTGATTTCCTTAAGGATAGTTGAATTACTGTTGAATTAGCTGTTGAATTAGCTGTATWGCGGATGAATGAAGTATAGCGGGGGAGCAGAACAGCAGCTTCATTAGCAGCTGCATTCTTACGAGTGAGCTGTACTGCTRTTCTTCGGTTTTTGTGTATACGTTCCCGGAGCCTGCTGCCGCGTTCCCTAATACACTCCAATGCAGGACAACATATAGAGGTATACTGTCATGAATACAAGTTTGCTGTTATACTGCAATGTAGATAAGTCAATGATACATGCCATGTGCAAGCCGATCCGGGCTGCATGTTTGTCCGTTTTCGTGGGAATACCCAGTTTTCGTGGGAATACCCACGTGCGAAAGTAGCAGGAAACAGTTCTAATCCCGCATTGGTGTACACAAAAACTGATACAGGGTATGCACAAAAACCCATCGAAGAAAAGAGAGTCGGAATAAGTACAACCAGTACTATCACCTACTGCTGCAACGAGATCCTCTAACGACGATACACACGTACAGCACTGTTGCTGCTTAGTTCATTATCTTCATTTGGATCCTTTGATTAGTGTTTAATTAGTAGTAGTAGTATTTAAGAGTATCGACAACAACGGCGTTAGTCTTCTTGACCATGGGATTCCTCCCCGTGACGAGGACGTTTAGTATTGTCGACCGCCTGGTAAGCATTGCTGTTTTGAGTGTTTTGCCATTGCTGAAAGCAACTCATGGCCATGGCGAGAGCATTCTTCCACATCAGATTAGTCTCTTTCGCGATTTCACTTGCCTCCTTGGCAATCAGGGAGTGCTCCTTTGCAATCAGGGAGTTCTCCTTTGCAAGCTTAGACTGCTCCAAAGCTAACTCACGACTTTCTTTGTCCCTTTGTTGCTGGCTAATCAAAAACTCATTGAATRCAGTCGCGTCCGGAACTTTCGAATAAGGTCTCTTATTCGGWGTAGAAGACTGTACTTTTGCGGGCAAGATCTCCTCTACAGTCGGCGCTTTAGCGGGCAAGAGGGCTGACTCTACAGTCGAKGATGCGTCTCCAGCGTGGATAACAGGAGCTCTTCCTTCCTGTACTTCAGCAGAGGGGATCCTATCCAAACCCTCCTCAGCCTCACTAACAATGAAGCCTTTMTTCATGTCAAAGTCCTCCTCTCCGGTACCAAGGTTTGCTTTCCTTCCTATCAAGTAATGGGCACGCCTGGCAAGCATCACGTACCTAGGCATATTGGGGTTACCAGTTGAGCTCTTCTTTTTTTTGATCGCGTTGTACTTGTTCCTGATGGATTTCTTGCTTCTATCAAAGGGATACTTTACATCATGCTTAGTGACAACAGTATCCCACTGTTCGGAATCAATGGGGAGAACCTCCACTATCAACTCCATGAGACTCTCTAGCTCTTCTTCAGAGTAGTTAAATGAACCAGCTCTGCGGCYGTTGTTGTTGTTATTGTCGGCCATGGCGTTGTTGTTGCTGCTGTCGGATGTGTTTTGAGCCTTCTCAAGGAAAATAATGCAGGGAATGGGGGCATCCTCCTCTTGCTGGTGGTCTCTTTGATGCAACAGAGAGAGGTAGTAGTAATAATAGTATGATATAGCAACTAAATCGACCGGCGCGGACATTCTTGTTGTTGTTAACAGAGGAGGCGCCATTGTTAACAGAAAAGGCGCCTTGTTGTTGCTTGTTGCTCTTGTTGTTTACTATCGGTATAAGACCACCAACGGAGTCTTAATTTTGGCGGGCTTTCTGTTGAGTCTTCTAGGAGTCCCTCAACGGACTCGAAAATTTTATTTGTGGGTTCCTCTCTAGATTTAGAGTTTTTAGAACCGGGTGGTTTGACCGGTTCTAAAAACTCTAAATCTAAAGTCAAATTCACTAAATTTTTGGTCTGTCAGTCTATCAAATCTAGAGTATTTAGAATAACGGGAATCACCCAATAACTCAGGCTAAGAGCAGTTAGGAACAACTGCACTTAAACGGATGGAATATTTTCCATGTATTTTCTATTCCGGAAAAAAGACAAACGAGGAAAACAATTGATTCAAGCTGCACTCTCATTCTCTTGCCTTCCTTTTGGCCAAGATGGAACTCACAAGAATGATCACGCCATGGCTGGCGAATACCAAAACAGAGGGGGTCACCGCGATGTCGGCGCCTACTTCGGGGGAAGCCATGAACACCTATTCAAAGGCAAAGCTGCTGGTCACTATTTTTTTGTTTCGGGTTTGCTATCTTTCTGGGATGGTCGTTTCCTCTCACTTTCTTCTGGAACACAACCCGGGAGACGATGTGTTGCGGTTTGATATGCGATTAAACGACGTCAATGGCTGTTTTTGCCTACAGGGTCAAGCCTGCGACAACGGCGCCACCGACTATACCGCGAGTGATTGTGCCATTCTATCAAATCATTCGTCGAATGGATCTCAGAGGTATTGGGAATTCCTACTGACACCTTTCACCAAATGGGATGCAGCGCGATTTTTACATCTTGCAACAAACCCTTCTATGAGAGATCCACCACGATATTTATTGTCCCCGCCATCACCGTCAGAAAACCCGTGGGAAAGTTCGGAGCAAGCACATGCATTTTTGCCCATGTTTCCTAGTATTCTACAACACTTTTCCCTTTTTCTGTACCACATCTTGCCAGAACAGATCTTGCCACCCACTTTTGAGAGTCTGGTCGTTTTAAGTGGCATTTTATTCAACAACTTTTTCTGTTTGACGGTAGCTACTTTGGGACTGTATCACTTAACGTTTCTCGTAATATCAAGAAACAAAACCTTAAATTCGGGAGGGGGGCAACGAGAACAGCAGTACCATGACAAGGGCCGTCACTTTGTTGCAAGCGTGGTCTGCCTTGTATTTGGTATATGGAATCCGGCTCTCGTATTTTTTGCGACAAATTATTCCGAAACCTTCTTTGCGACAACTAGTATTTTGGGCCATCTTTGTATCAAACTGAGCAAAAACCAAGGAAACATCGCAATGTGGTTCATCGGGATTGGATGCTGGATGGTGGGGTCGTACACTCGGTCCAATGGCTCGCTGCAGTCCTTATGGTTACTGCAAGATGGATTGTCACACATAATACTGTTGTTCCGTCACAGAAACTCTGTTTGTCACAAAGGTGGCACCAACGTTGCAACAAATCCTAGAACTACGAATCTGTCATATTTGTTTCGGGCAATCGTGATTGGTATTCAAAGCACCATGGGTGCTGTTTTAGTAACCCTTCCTGTTCGATATCATGACTTAAAAGGTTGGGATAGGCACTGCGTAGGTGCAGCAGTCCGACCGTCGTGGTGCAGCTACGGTAACGAGAACCCATCGGTTCTGAGTTCTTCGTTTTCGCTTTATCGCTACATTCAAGACAAACACTGGAACGTAGGCTTTTTTCGGTACTACGAATGGAAGCAGATTCCGAACTTTCTCCTAGCGGCTCCCATAATCACCCTTTCCACAATAGGAGTATATCAATGGATCCATTGGTCTTTAGTAACAGATTATGGCAAAGGCAAATTCCCATCTTCTCGCGGAATGCTTTTTGTTGGATGGCCTCTACACGCTTTGGCAGAATCTGCATCTGCGTTCGATGGACAAGCCTCTAGTGGCACTGTTGCTCATGGCAGCAGAAACGACACTACAGAACCGGTTTTTGCTCCATGGAGCCTTCTTCTCGAAAACTCCTCCTTGCTAGGGCACTATGCAATCTTGGCTATTTTGGCATTTGTTGGGTTATTCATTGCCCATGTGCAAATATCAACTCGTATGATTTGCTCTGCATCACCTGCCATCACATGGTTTATTGCAAATATTCTTATGTCACCACCAACGAATGACGCTGGCACCTCTGTATCAAAATACAATGAAAAAGAGCCAAAAAGTGGTTCGTACGTGGATATTCTTCAGGAAAAACGACGTGATATAGTATTGTTTTATATCGCTTTATATCTGCTTTTGGGATCGGTATTACATGTAAACTTTCTACCCTGGACATGACGTACATGGAAGTCTAAATATCAATTAAAATTTAGAGTTGTTCTGAACATTTATCCATGCTCTTGTCACTTCTCAGTGTACTAGTATTGGTATGCTGGAGGTTCGTTTGGATTTTTCGGAGGTGGGGGAGGGGGAGCCATCCGAGATACTGCGTTCGGGGCTTGTGAGTGTTGCGGAGTCCCTCGGTATGGAAATGTTTGGTTGTGACTTGGAGGGGGTGGAGGCGGGGGCGGGGGTGCTCCTGACACCTGTCTATGGAATGTCGATCCTGGAGGATACTGATATGTGGGATGTGCCTGGTAAATCCCTCCGTGTGGGTATTGCTGTTGTCCCATCTGATGAAAGCCTTGGGGAAGGTTCGCATGGCCTTGGACATAGTTAAAGCCCTGTAAGGGCGGTGGCGGTTGACCATGATATCCCGTATGTGCTCTGTTTGGATATCTTGTCGAATTATTGTTACGTCGTTGCTCCCTTTGTTGTCGTCGATCGTTGTTTCGTTGCTGATTCTTTTTCCGCCCGGCTCCTTTTTTCTTGTTTTTTGCCTCCCGTTCCTTTTCATCGTCGCTGTAATACGCTTCACTACTATTGATAATTTCTTCGTCATATATATTTGATGCATCGCATCCCTTCCCACTAGTTTTCATGACAAAGCTCGTGTCAATAAGCTTGGCTTCATCCTCGATATAGTACACTTCAATGTTCTTGTTCTCAGCAAGGAATTTTGCGTATTCGCCATTCACTGCCCACATATCGACTGCGGTATTTTCAGGTGATCGGTCTATGTTGTCAGGAGACGTGGGCTCCACAGTGGTGGTTGAAGCTTCATTGACCCTAGCGGATTCCGTCTTTTCATCGGGTAATATATTCGGTGGACTGTCTTTGTTCATAGATGTATCACTCTTTTCTTTCCCGCTTATATAATCTTCAGTACATGACGATGATGATAGGTTCGTCACGACGGCATCATTCGCTTTCTCCGACGTCTCTGGTATGGTTGGGGCATTGTTGGGGATGTTTCCCTGCTCATTGTCCCCGATGGTTTCCATATCATCTTCATTCTTATCAACGGCTTTGTTGTCCCCTTGTTTTACAAACTCCGTTAACTCATTTTCTTTCTTTGAAGCTTTCTTTTCAGAGTTACATTCCTGAGATCGTGGATTGCTTGACTTCTTATTTTTGGAGGTCGATGGAGGAGAAGGCAATCGTATGGTGTACAAAGGTTGAGAAACTGGTCCAAAAACCTCAAAAATTCTTCCCAGCGGAATTAAGCTCGTTCTCTCAGCAGGAATCCGATCGCCTTCATTCTCGGTCTTTTTGACTACCAACAAGCTTCCCTCATCTAGCGGTCCAACAGTTTGTTGAAATCCTGCCGAATGTGCTGGGATGGCAGCAGATTCGACGACTACCGTCCGATCACTTGACATGTAGTTCTTGATCCTTCCCGCCAAAGACAGTTGGTTTGAAGTGGAATTGTTACTTCCGTCATTTGTTGCTGCCTTTACAGTTGCTTCGTCCACTGTCAATCGGATCTGTAACTGTGATTCTAGTTCTTTTATAGGAACTTTGTAACCGTCCACTTCGTTATCTGTTTTTGGCGGATTCGAAGCAGTAAGACCGGCCTCTTCCTCTGCAGCAGTTGCTTGTTCCATCCTCTGCACGGCTTGGGTAATATCCTCGTCATCTGACTCATCGTCACTGCTACAACTATCGCTATCGCTACTGCAATCGTTTTCGTTGCTGTTATCAGCACCTTCAGCATCGGCAATGGAGACATCGCTGTTGCTATCATCGTCGTTCACATCGATTTCGTTGCCATCTTCTTGCTTCTTGGCTGGATTCACGCTTTCCACAAGAGGCGTAAAAGTTGCTGCGTCAGTATTTGGTATAATTGCGAATTGAGCTGCATGTACCAAGTCATCTACGGTTTCTAGCCCTTGATCGTTGTGACTGTTCTCGAATTGTCGAAATCTTCGCTTCGTTTGCGAACGACGATTCTCGTCACCCCTCACCATTGCGATGTACTCTATATAAATGCCTAAGTGTAAATATATTATTTTTACTTCTCCATCTATTTCGCGATAAAGACAATAACAAAACCTTGCTGCCAGAATGTTCAGAATCCCGTTGTTTGGTTTATCTTCTGTTTTTGTGATGTTCTGTTGTTACAGTATTAGAGATATTATTTTGTTCTTCGTCGCTCAGCAATTTTTTTCTGCAACTGTCGCTGCTTTTGATTATTTTGACTTCAAATCTCGACCAACTGAAGTGTCATGGATTTGGATTTTGGATTTTCGAGGCGAACCGTTGATTTGATTGAGATTGGTTGGCGGTGCCGAGATCAGCCCGAAAATCGGGGAGTCATATCGAACGAATCCCGGATCTAAAATCCAAAAAGACTTTATTAGCTTTCTTTTCTTGCGTTGAGCACGCTCGGTAATCAAGTGCCCTTATCTTTTCGAAAACGCAACGGATAGTACGGTGGTACCAGCAGGGGTACCAGTACGTATTTTTTCGTAGCCTCAACTACTTTCGTACGTAAAAGAGCGGGTACGAGTAGGGAAGGGTATGGAGTACGAGTAGTACCAGTTACGACGGTACTACTGGAGGGTTTCAAAAAGGCATCGAACAACATACCGGTAGTTATGACGATCATTTCAATGCTGTCGAGAGAACAAAAATTACGTGCAGTTCGTACTAGTACTCATACTCGTTCCGTCCATACCTCGGTGCATAATATAATTTATGATCATACCAGAAATAACCATCGATCGGAAAGTAGGTGTCTGTCAATATCAAACCGCTTCGAACAATCCGATCTGTCATACCTAATTCCGATACGAACGAATCAAGAAGATTGATTGATCGGATCAACGTCCTCCTCCTCCTTAAAACAAATCCTCGTGGGTAGCGGCAAGGACGATGAGATCATGGATATTTGGCAATAAGGGCGGCAACAAGGAAGATGAAAAGGAGACTTCAGGCAACTCTTCTGCAATTGAGTCAACTGGTATTGGTTCTACTCGTATCAATCAAACTTTATCTTCTGATGGGGCGGAACCGCAGACGAGGTGAGTATTGGTGAATAAATGTTTATGCCGATTTTTGTATTTTGTCTTCCCATAATTTAGACGTCGGGCAGGATGTAGGGAAGCAATGACAAGCGGACTCGATGCTAACATTTATAACATTGGGTTGTTCATAAATTGCGAATGCGTTCTTTTCTTCTTGTTAATATATTTGTATTGCAAATCTGAAGTCGAGGGTTTTTCCGAGGAATTGGAAAACAAGATGCTGAAATTGATCGCAGGGTATCCCTATCAGCACGTAACCTCTGCAACGGTGTTCAAAGAATCGTCATGGCTGCAAAGGGGAAGTCGGGAATGGAATGGAAGTCCGAACTACTAACTCTCTTGGGAGGATCCGATGAAGAGCCCGAGAAAATACCTGGGGACAACAACAGCGGTGGCGATGTTGGTGGTGATTCTTCTGCTACAACGCATTGCGATATGGATGTTTTATTAGCAGCACCAAAGACGGAGAAGTATCTCATGCGCTGTCTAGAAAATGAACTTCCGCCGAATATGATACACTGTTTGCGATTGCTGCGCGTCTTGGAACTACAGCATGCTGCAGAAACGTACAAAGAATACGAAGCCCAAGGAAAGGTGGATCAACCAATAAAACCAATCTCGAGTCGAGCAACTGCAAAGGTTAGCCAATTGCTTTGCAACTTGTGTACAAATCCATCTGTAGGGGAACAACTTCGGTTACATCTGTTTGGATTGCTGGCGCTATCGGGTGCATCCTACCCATCGTCAGGTGTTCATGTTGCGAGGGCCGCGTCGCAAGTCATTATCGCCTTCGCTCAAAACTGTTTGTCCAATAGTTTGGTGCTATTCCTTCACGATCGAAAGATGATTATTCACATGACAGATGACATTAAAGAGTTGTGCGCGACAAAAGGTGACAGCGAGAATGCAAGCGTAGGAGAACATAGCGTTAGCAGCAGCAGTAACAACAACTTTTTGAGTTTATACGGTTCGGATGCCGAAGAAGCTGGTTTATGGGCAATCTCGTTATCGACAGTTGTGAATCTAGTATACTATTCGTGTCGACACGACTGCAAGGAACTTCTAAATGATTTTGATTCGGCAAATGGTTACCAGGTATTGAAAGGGGCGATTCTTCAGTCCAAATCCATGCACGGAAAAAAACTAATGGAACTACTTCCATTGTTAGGGACCTGCCAAAGATCTACCGCAATTGAGGACAAGAAAAATAATGAGATCGCGGGCAATCCCGAGGATTCGAAGGAGGGCCAAAACACGTCAATATTCACTATCTTCGAGGAAATAGCTTACGAGTCTGTTCCCTTGCTGAAGTTGTACGTCGAAGAAAACGATGGGTTGAAACCCGAAATTACAAACGATGAAAAATGCCTGGGAGACTTGACAAATTATTCCCTTGAAGTTGCGAAGAAATGTAGATTTCAATCTCTTGAATCCCCTCTCGAAATAGAGGCCGAGACGCCAAAATCTTTTGATATCGTCACCGATCTTTTGCTTTCAGCTTTGCAGCTGTATTCAGACCATGTCAAAAATTACGACTTGCTAGAAGAAGAATGTCATTTTTTGACCCTTTACATAATAGCCTTCCCAACATTCGAAGAAGAAAATCTCAAGATTTTGATTTTGAAAACAATAGAATTCGTTGTGACGGGTGTCACAGGATCCAAGGCATTGCAACCGTTCAGCGTGTTGAGTGAAGTGTTCGTTGGAATATGCAGGAGCCTATTAGAAGAGTCGCTCAAGAGCAATGCGAATGAAAAGTTGAAAGGCAAAATCCTGAAAGGATTATTTACAGATACAGACCTTATCAATGAGTCACTGGAAAAAATATTTAGGTTTGACGGAAAAGTTGGTCCACAAATAATGCAATCTGGAAGAATAACAAGTATGGTGGACAGAATAGCAGACATGCTGACATCAGAATTGAACACTCATAAAGACTCATGGCAAACTACTTTCGAAGACAAGGAAGGCAACCTTTTCATAGAACCTCCCATTACAACTCCGTTCGATACAGTATGCGCTGCGATTTTGAGAGTATTTGCATTAGTCATGGGATTCCAAGCGAAACGAGGCGCTTCTTTATTGACGGTTTGTAACGACAAAGAACAAGAACGGGGTATAAGCTATCTCTTGATGGCGTCCATAAAAGAGCTTGGAGACGAATCTGTCATTGCAGCATTGAGTGTATTCCAAGCAATTATAGCCTCTCGAGAGAATTTGCACCTTCTTGTTCTCGACATGGAATACTGTCTCAAGACCATTGATTATTTCACGAATATGACTTCAAAATCATGCGGTATACCCGAGGCAGCAAAGAAAATTCTGTCGAAGAAAAAGCTTGATAAATCCACCGTAGACGAGATCAAATTTGCTCCTACACGCAAATTGAATGCAGTTGTCTTACAACGAATATCCTGGATATGCACGACGTTAAAACATGCGCTAGAATCTAGCAGTTTGGCGAGGGAAGCTTTCCGCCTAACCGACGGGTTCAATACAATTTTGAACGTTGTGTTGTCCCTCGGTGGGTGTGCAGATCATTGTAAGGATTCGAAGGAGACATCTACATTATTAGATCTCTTCCGCCATCTGTTATCACTGGTTGATACATCCATTGGTTTTACTGGTCGGAAAGAGGTGAAAGACATGGAGTTTGGAGCTTTGATACCAATTACTTTACCACCATATACGTTGGTAGATCCAGTATCTTCACAGCATGGACCATGCAGCTCATCTACATCCAATTTATATCATCTGCGATTGAAATCATTCTACTTGGATTTTGCAATTGCAATCTCACAAACAAGAATCATGAAAGCTTCGGGGAATGCCGTTCAAATACTTGAACTCGCCATGTCTCACATGGATCCATCATTCAATCTGACGAAGGTTGATGTAGAAAAGAGCAACAAGGTCCAAATGATGCGAAATCCTGATGCAGCCAGACTCGTTCTAGGATTGGTGTTGTTTTTGCCAGAGAATAAGGAAGGGGATAAACTCGCCAAACGAGCATTTGATCAAATCATCCGACTCTGTGACCCCAGCCGTGTTGGAACCACTCTTCCACAAATCGCGAAATGTGGTATGGTATGGAGCATAACGAATCCAAAAGAATTTGGGCCGATACTTGATGACACTTCTCACCGTCTCTACCCGCGATTCACACTTCTACTAAGACGAATTGCAGCATTCAGTATGTCACATAGTGATTTTGTTTCCGTTTTCCGTGGGATAGCAGGTCCTCTACTAAGAGACGAGAGAACGGATTCGAAAATTCGTCTCCCAGTGATAAGCTCTTCTATTCGACAACGGATAACAAAAAAGAACGACGTGATTGATCCAGAGTCGTTTGAAGAGAAAGAAACCGATTTCTGTCGGAGACTTGAATCTTTATGTGCCATAGCTGAAAGAGGCCAAAGAGTTCCATTCTGTACAATGGGCGGAGACACAATCAACACGCTCTCAATTCTACTGCACAAGACTAAGGTCGAAGATAGACTATATAAGGCCTCAGAAGCGGGAAGACTAAATTTCCTCGAGGTGGATTGTCTTGATTTATCATCACTGAAGCCAGGGGGTTTTCTGTCGGCTGGTGTAGCTGCTCCTGGTTCTTCCGGTGGGGAAAGGATTTGGACTCCTATGAGTACTACGGGATTCTCCTTCTCGATGTGGTTTAAATATTCTAGGCCTATAGATGACACACGAGAAGGAAACATATATTTATTCGATGTATCAAATCCAACTGTTTCAACAAGTGATGGAACTCATACACCTCAAAGTGCAGTTTTTCTCTCCGTTTGGTATGATGCATTAGCTCAGCAATTCAATGTTGTGTCTTCTTCTTCAACAAAAGGTGAACCTTTGTGTTTTCCGGTGTCTCCCCTTGTTCCTGGGGTGTGGCACCATGTTCTACTGACGTACACCCCCACGAAGAGAACGATGATGGGGAGAAAATCACTTGTTGCAATGTATGTTGACGGGCGACCCCTGGAAGCAGAGATGAAAATTGAAAGTATCAACATTGCCCCTAATGCCCGCGTTTTGATTGGTGCTCCAAATGCTGTGATTGCAGCCAGTGGAATGATCCGTGGAATGATCCTAAACTGGGAGCTTGGGCCAACTCTTTTGTTGTCCACTGTCCTTATGGAACTTGACGCGACTGCTATATTTATCTACGGTCCAGATTTTGAAGGTCTGTTTTGGGGTGATCGACCTCAACGACTTTCATTGTCAGCAACGGGTACTTCCGCTTTTGCGTTGCTATCTGAGACTGGGGAACCTGGTAGTGTTGCAAGCGCTCTTCGAAGACGAGATATTGCGAGGCTGGAGGCCGCGGGAACTATATCCCGAGAAATGGGAGTAAACAGATCCGGTGACGACGACAATGATTCACTTGGATCGCTTGGGCTGTTGTGCACCATCCCTCCTGATTGCGTGGTCTTTGCCTATCGAGCTAGTACTACAAACCAAAATTCAATAAGGGAATCTCGCGAATCTTCCTCTCTCAGGAAGAGAAATACGATCGGAAAGTTGGTAAATCTAGCACGTATAAACAATGGGAACGACTGCATTTCGACAGACGCCTCCCTTTTTGGCAAAGCAGGTGCTGTAAATCCTCGTTGTTTTGAAGACAACATACAATGGGCAGGGGGGCCTGAGGTTTTGATGCCGCTAGTCTACGCTGCACCATCAGCTCGGAGTTTGGCGCTCACTTTACGTCTTTTTAGAGCGAGTACCAATCGCCATCCTCCGAATCTTGAGGCAATGCAGGGAGGTGGTGGATTCCAGGTTCTTGCTATTTTGATCCAAGGAAAGAAGTTTGTTGACATCAAGATCATTGAACAAGCTTTTGCTTTTGCTGTTCATGGCTTCGTCCCTCCTTCTGCTGATAGTAGCCCATCAAGTCCTGCAATTCTGCAAATCCCCATCGCTACAAATTGGGTTTTTTCAGATCTTGACGCAATGAAACAACTTCTTCTCAATCATCAAGTATGGGATTTAAAGAACACTCATCCTGATCTGCCGTTGCGATTAATAACGTTGGTGAATGGTCTAGTCGGACAAAAATCAATGCATAAGGCTTTTAATTCTCGTCGTTTACATTTGGTTGGAATAATCCGATGGACACTCCACTTGATGGTTGAAGCCGCTGAACTATACTCTGCAGGTGAAATTGCCTCTCAGACTTTGAAGAAAACAACGTCAAGCTCCGACGATGAGCTTGACCTTGATGATACACCGAAGACCCTATCTAATCCATGGCATATTGAAGCTCCGTGCATAGATGCTATCTGTGTGGGTGCAGACCCTGATAACCCATTACTTCAAGCGAGCAAGACTCTGCTTCGACGAGTCTTGACATTTATGCTCACCCCTGGTGACCTTGAAGCTATTGCTGAAGCTACCATGTACACCGTTTCGATCGGAGCATTTAGTGCAAAAACTAACACAGTTGATCAACAGAAAGCACATGATAGTGGTTCTGAACCAGAAAGGCTTCTTCCAGGTTCTGTAACGCGAATATATCTTTTGAGATTGATAGAAGAGCTTATTGTCGATGGTGTGAACGAAATTATAGCAAGTGGTGAAAAGAAAATTGAAGGAGAAACTGGGAAAGATCCGATTCCTCCAGCTGCTCATGCTGGTGGGGTTGCTAATGTAAATCAAGCGTATTTCTCAACTGCTCTACTTGGAGGAAAAATCATGGATGGTGAAATTCATCCAAAGCATCAGCAAGCTCAGAACTTCCTTGCCGCGTTTGGAAGCATCTTCACACCAGTCTGGTTTGCTGCACTACTGGAAGGATGCAATGACGAGGCAACTGCTTCAGCTGTTCTTAGGCTCCTAATATTGATGATACAGAGCTCTCCCAGTTTTGCTGCTGCATTTGATGCCAACGGAGGCTTTGCCCCTTTGGTCATAAGTATTCCGAAGTTTTCGACATGCTCCACTATCATCATTGCTCTTTTGAGTGAGCTTTTACACGTTTCCATTCTTCACCTTCCTTCCTTTCCAATTCTCGATGCTTCTCAATTAAATGAAATTTTCGAGCAAGAAAGCGAAGTGTCTGAAAAAGTTTCCAACAAGTTTGCTGAATCCGCCACTGAGTCGCTGGATCCATCATGCGGTGTATTTGCTTTATTGGCTGAATGCATTGGGCGGAATGTTCAATTGTCGACTTCTGACAATGACCTCGGCAAAAAAGCGCGGCAGACGAACATTGCAATTCTTGAGCTATTGAAGCATCGACACAACTTGTCTTCCGCCTTTCAATCTTTTTGTACAACTCAGTCATTTTTACGCCCCCTCATACATACGATGTGTTTGGTTCATGACGAAAAATTCCAACGAATGCAATCTGAAAGTAAATCAGTTCAATCCGCAACCGATGCAGAAGCACAAAAAGAATCAAGGCGTGGATCTTTAAAGGATGTCCCGTCGGATGTCTCACCTGTAGAAAGGTTTGTCGGAGGAGACTGCGAGCTTGGCTCGGATGCAGGAGTTGCGATGGTGCATCTTTTACGAATCATCATTGCAAATGCGGTGGTTGCTGGACCCGTTGCTCCACCGTTAGTATACTCTCTGTTCTCTTCGTATCCTGAACACACTATGGTGGATCAAGTTGGCGCATACCATTTACTATTGCTTGATTTGATCAAAACAACTATCGAAGATGCTGTTGACCTAGGCGAAGCTACTGCTTTGTCAGCCTGTACGGGTCTTTGCTCAGTGCTACTAGACAAAATGATGAGGGGATTCTTTACGTCGGAACTAATTCTTCACACTGTGGCCATGACTCTTTTTCTTTTAGATGGTCTAACATCATCTTCATCAATGGCATTAACAAATGTCGGTACAGCAGAACGGGCAATCATTACTGCTGATGCCGCTCACATAGCGAGGATGGCCTGCCTCTGCGGAATCAGGCGAAGCCGCCCAATGAACGCCGAAGATATAGGTGATTCTGACTTGCAAGATACATTGGTGCAGATGACAGCGAAGAATATCGATGAATTGATGATTGTTCCAAAAAATACTGGTCTTAGACGGAATGCTGGTGTGCACTCAGCGCCGTCCACAAACTCTAGTAAATATCCGTTGTGGGCAGCGTGCAATATCTCAAGATGTTCTCAAGAGAATGTTGTATTGACATACCCCGAACTGTGCGGAATGGAAGAGCCTTTGCAACCATTCATTATTGGGTTGATGGCAGAGGTCGCGTATCTTTTGAAAGATGAAAGAGATGAGATACGATTAGCAACTATCACCATTGTCGTTATACTTCTTCAGCACGGACGGGGGATGCTATCGAGTCATCTAATCAAAGAAGTTCAAATTGCTGATAATCAAGTCGAAACAATTGATGTGATGAATCGAGGTGGCTTTGGTGCATTGCTAGTCGCTCATGAAGTGGCCCAAGCATCTGGTGCAGCATCAGCGAACAAGAATTATAAACCTTTTTTTGTGTGGTACGAGAAACATAAAGCCAAAGTCCAGATTATATTTGATGGTATCGAAAAAGAGAGTGTCCGGATATTCCCTGGACTGACCATGGGCACGCATACGGCCGACGAAGCTGTCGAGATTGAACAAATGGCAATTGCAATGAAAACAACTTCTAACGATGCAGCTGACCGAACCATAATTGGTGGCTTAGAAAGGGCAGAGCTTGCACAACGGTATATTGATAAAACCGCAGAGGGTCACGTCCACTGGAAGCGTCAGGGATTTGACGATCTTGCGTCAGGAGCTATGCACTGGAAATTCTTACTTCGTCGTTTGAAAGGTTCATATTCAATATGGGAAGGTGATACACGTTCAGCATCAGTTCAAATTTACAATCGACACCACCAGCTTTATACAACACTGATGGAGAAAAAATCAGGGAAATCCGTTGTCAACAAAGACGACGACGAAGAAGGTCGTGAACTTGTGAGGAGATGGAAACTCGATTTGAGTGAAGGTTATGAGCGACAACGTCGCCGGCTTCTTCCAAACTACGAATTCCACGGTCTGTATAACATCGATGAGTCATTGGATGACTTAGAAGATACAGATCCAAATGCGGGGTCTGGGATCGATGCTGAAAAGACAAGACGAAGATACTCTTCCAACAGTCCTGACAATCAAGGTGATTTCTTTGCTACAGGATCGGGTGTAGAGGCTACAACTGAATTGCTCAAAGAACTCAATATCAAAAAAATTCATCGTGGTGACGATTTCGATGAGGACTATGACGATGGTGAAGAGGACACGCAAACGCTGGTAACGGAGGCAACTGGTGGTTCCGCGGAAGAAGGCGCAAACGAAGCGAATGTCGACGAAGTGAATGGTGATAATGCCAAGGACGAAGAAGGTGAGGATGACACTGACAACCTGGATGTAAAAGCGACTCAGGAAGATCACAACGAGACTGAAAATGTAGCCTCAAGCTATGAACTTATAACTGGCTTGCTTCACGCTGGGGAGTGGCCTGAGCAATCCTATAACGTCCGTCGATGCACTGGTTTAGAAGTGCGGAAAGCTCTGCTTCTTTGGTGTCGAGACTCAATATACATAATTGATGGTTTTGAACAAAGTGGAGAAGGACTCGAAGGAAGAATTGTCAGAGTTGAGAAGGAAGAATCATCTTTCAACATAAATTTGCGACCGAAGGATTTTAAGGCATCTGATGACGTATCTGTATCTGACACAGAAAGCATTGTCGAAAGTAACGATGGAGACAAATCTAGCGAGAGAATGAAGTCATCAAAAACTTCCGGTCAGGAATCTTCAAACAATAATGAAGTTGCTTATCAGCATCGAAGTCAGAGAATTTCGTTTTCTGAGCTCCACTCTGTTTTTCGTCGGCGATACCAGCTGCAACAAATCGCGCTTGAATTCTATGACATTCATAACAGTGGAACACTAGTTGCCTTTGCAAACAATGACGAAAGAGAAGAGGTTTTGTCCAAGATTCTGGCAGCCCCCCTCCCGAACAGCATTTTTAGCTCGTTTATGGGAACATCTATTAATTACCGCAAGTTTATGAACTCATGGAAATCAAAGATTGTTTCACAGTGGGTGAATGGAAGGATGACAAATTTTGAATTTCTCATGTACCTCAACTCATTTGCAGGAAGAACTTACAACGATCTAACGCAGTATCCTGTCTTTCCTTGGGTTATCGCTGATTATGAAAGTGATGAAATCGACTTGAATGATCCGAAAACTTACCGAGATTTATCCAAACCAATGGGAGCTTTGGGCGAAGATCGAGCGCGACAATTTAGAGATCGATTCGAGGCACTTCAACAAACTTATATCAGCGAAGATGACCCCCCACCGTTTCACTACGGGACTCATTACTCTTGTGCTGCATATGTACTTTATTACTTAATGCGTCTTGAGCCCTTTTCGAGGCTTGCACTGGCGTTACAAGGTGGAAGATTTGATGTGGCTGATCGATTATTTCACAATATTGGTAGCAGTTGGAAGAGTGCCAGCGAAGAAAACCTACAAGATGTTAGAGAACTCATCCCTGAATTCTTTTATCTTCCTGATTTCCTGACTAATACAAATCATTTCGATTTTGGAGCAACACAAAAGGGGAAGCATGTTCACAATGTAACCCTTCCAAAATGGGCGAAAGGTGATCCCGAAACATTTGTCCGAATCAATCGTCAAGCATTAGAGAGTGAACATGTGAGCAAGCATTTGCATTTGTGGATTGATTTGATTTTCGGGTGCAAACAACGTGGCGAACAAGCTGTCAAATCACTGAACACCTTTGTCCATGTCACCTACGAAGGAGAGGTGGATTTAGAATCTATGACTGATGTGGTTCAAAGAGAATCTACCATTGCTCAAATACAAAATTTTGGCCAAACACCCAGCAGACTCGAACGCAGGTCATTCCCCCAGAGGATTATTTATTCAGCCCTGAAAGAGAACGAAAAGAATATTGATTATAATGCTCTGTCCTATCTGGCTCCATTAACGCCCCCCTTCTGTGTGGTTGGAGCGAGTCATAGGTGTACCGTGAAGCGCTTTTCATCAGAGCAATGCAAATTAGGTGTTTCCAGTCAAAGCGACAAGGCAGTTGGTGACATGTGCCTAATCAAGGGGCAGCTAGTTGGCGTTGGGCGAATGTGCTCCTTGAACATCGCCGCCAAGACATTTTACCGCTTCGGTGGTCCTAACAACGGCATATGCGTTCATAATGCTTCAACGGTAAACCGCAATCGAGAGGCGAATAAATTGTTGACCGTTCACGACGGTCTGCATAGTGGCGAAGTTAGTGTTGCAAAGGCGTCTTTGAATGGCCAGTGGCTTGTAACCGGATCAATTGACTCTACAGTACGATTGTGGAAGTATGAAAATCCGACTTTGAAGCTGCAAGCATCATTGATTGGTCACGGTGGGTGGAAAATTACCTGCGTGGACATTAGCACTGTCTTTGGAACGATTGTCACAGGTTGCGCTCAAGGTCGTGTTATATTATGGGATCTTAGAACATTAACCTTTGTCCGAAGACTCCGGCACGTTTTCAAGGACGAAAGTGGGTCTGGTGATGGCGGACAGCGATCGCATACCATGAGTTCTACATCAGTCTCAATCAACCAAAAGAATGGCAATATTGTGACTCTCGTGGGGCCATACTTGTCCGTCTTCGACATCAATGGAAACTTACGTGGCACCGTCAATTCGCTCGGAGCAAAACCAAGCTGCGCGATTGCAACAGATTGTCCCGAATGGCAGGATGAAGGGATTGTTGTAGTAACGGGTCATATCAACGGCGAAGTCCGTTTCTGGAAATTGAATCCCATCACGCGAGAGCTTGTTGTCCACTATCTTATGGTCGATAGAGAACATGTGACGGAGATCACATCGTTGCGTGCTACCGGCAACGAGCGTCAGGATACTCTATTAGTTGGAGACAAATCCGGCAAAATGTCCATATGCAGGACAATTCAAATAGATAATATCAGTAGCAATGAACTCGCGGAAGTCATTGCCGATTTGAAGGAGAGACGACGTTTGGCAACTTCCAGCCAAGCATGAGGAGAATACCGCTATTTTTATAGACTGAATGCAACGTGAACAATAATTCTAGGAAGATCTTCATATGGATCTGAAACTCCAATAAAAAACTATGATAAAAAATGCGAAAGCTTTTCACTGGTTGTGATAGCCAAGACTAAACAATATAAGTAGTTCATATTAGGCAATAGTAGTGATCACAAATAATGGCAGCATTCTTAAAGAGGTTATTCTTCTGCTGGTTCAAATGTTGTGCTTGTACAGAACTATCTCTTTTATCTCGTGTTAATTTGGGACAGAGTAAGTACAGTAGTTCCTTCCACCAGTACTACTACTAATAATTGTACCTCCTAGCACTGTATGACTATCACCGTATGTCCATCGTCGGTTTCCAGACTCAACTCAAAGGAAATCATTGCTCCAGATAGCACAACCAACGCAAATGTACGATACTTCTACTCCAAATACAAAACGTTCTTATTCGGCAGTCCTAGAAGTACGGGTACGTACTCGTAACTCGTACTGCCTGTAGACTTATCGTCTTACAGTCCAATAGTCATGGGGTCATAATTTAGACCCCTGCCAGTAGTACTTTCTTCCTTCCGTGCGGTAGCGCTATACGGCAAGGGTCGTAATAATAGTACAGTACCGGCCGGCCGGTGCTGGTACCGATAGTAATTTGTAATTTAGACCTCTGTAGTACTGTACGATTCGTACGGGCAAAGGAGAATCAATCACCGAATTAGGCCCATGAAACTTCTCTGTCCATTAAAAAGCGTTCTTCTCCCGAACAGATGTCAACAATCATGAAATAATTGGAAGAAGTGAAAAGCAAGAAATTTCTTGTAACAAAAACAATAATGACGACCTCTCGTCAAATCTATGATCCTCATAGATTGTAGCTTGTAATGCACTGGAGCATGCGGTACAACATCGAAAGAATAAGTATTCACTGCTTCACAAAAACGGCGGGAACCCACTCATGTGCAGCTGCTACGGTTCAATCATGAGAACAGTCGTGTATTTCTCCTCCTTTACAAGCAGGACCATGAGATTGATCATTTTTAATCAGCTGGTATTGGTCATCGCACTGTGCAGCCTGTTGTATCCAGGGAACAGCCACATGCCTGTTGCACTTGCTTTTGATATTTCTCCGAGATTGTCTACCCCTCGCCACAGAATAACGGCAACAGAAGCCTCTACAAAAAGTTCCGTGCCTTATCGAACAGCAACAGCAGCAGAAAAAACGATTGGATGCAAGGAGGCCCATACGATTCGAAACACTGAACGTTCGCATTCTTGTAAGTACGATCTAGGGCTGGGAAAGAATGCTCCCGTCGTATCAAAAACACTCAGTCGTGATCAACAAGGGTTGCCAAACAGCATCACCGATGTTGGCGTTAATGGGAATCCTAGTAGCTACGAAGTGACTCGGTTCCTCGTGGAGCATGAAGCGACTAGGTCATACCCCGCACCCCGCACCACAGATGATCATGGTTTATCGCTAGTGTCACAACAAAAAAAGAATCACGCTGTGATAGGCAAGACTGCCCCGAAACTAGAAATATCCACAACGATACCCAAAGAAAGGAATGCATCCCAACACCATCTTATCGATTCCGAAGTGACAAGGAAACAATTATCGACGATGATGGAAAATCGAAGTCGCAAATCACCCGAAACAACGCTGGAAAAAAGGAATTCCTGTCATAAACAACAAAAACGCTCCATCGCAAGGATGCAACCCAAACCGAAGCGGTCTTTGGAAGATTGCTTGACGATACTGGATCACGAAGTGACAGCATCGAAAAGCTCTGTTCCTGCTACTATGAATAGCACGATTGTCTCGCTTCCCAATACTCCCCAGCTGGACATGAACAGTATCTGGGTAGAAATGCTATTGCACAACCAGATGGCATTGGCTCATCAAAGCAACAACTAGTTCTAGGTTGGGAAACCGCTATTTTTCAACACTAAATAATGATTACTGGTAGTATTAATTTCTAGCACTGACATCATTTCTCATAATATTATTGTAGGAACAAGATGTGGTGGACCAGGTTTTGAATGGAATCTTGGGATAAAGAAACGCTTGCGTACTTGAATTGATAAGTCGATTCGTTCTTAATCGACAAGCCGGAGCGCCGAAGTTTGCAACATAGTCCTTCATGCCTGTACTGAGAGACTAAAGCGCCTACACGGTAGTCCTTGTAGTGAAAGGCAATTAGGGATGTCGAGTTAACTATAATCGTAACTAAAATAGCTAGACTGCTCCTTTCAGGATCAAGTTTTATAAATAGCTTATTCCTTGTCTTGGGCAGTCTTCTTAACTCCTCGAAGACGTCCGGTTCTGCGGGCGGCGATAAGACCACACTTTCTACCGGCGGGTCGCTCACGTCCGGTGGTGGAAGGCATACCAATGTGCTGATGGTTACCTCCTCCGTGGGGATGCTCTACTGGATTCTTAGCAACACCACGAATCTTAGGCCAGCAGTTGCGCTTGACGGCGTACTTGTGGTAGGCACGTCCGGCCTTCAACAAGGGCTTGTCTGTACGACCACCTCCAGCGACAATACCAATCTGGGCACGGACAGTGGAGGGGACGGTCTTCTTACCTCCCGAAGGAAGTCGAAGCTTGGTGGTTCCCTTGTCTTCGTCGTGGGTGACAACGATGGCATACGAACCGGAGGCACGGGCAAAGGCACCGCGATCACCAGCCTTAGCTTCGATGTTGCAGACAATGGTTCCCTCGGGAACAGCAGTCAAAGGCAAGACGTTACCGCAGGCCAAAGACGCCTTCTTACCGCAGTAGACGAACTGTCCGGTGTACATACCCTCGGTACAGAGGAACAATTCATTGTCGCGCTGGTATCGGTAAGCGTTCAAGAACTGAACACGGCAGACGGGAGCACCTCGGCCAGGGTCATGCATGATCTCCTTAACCACACCTCGGATGTAACCCTGCTTTTCGGCGTAGTCCAACGATCGGAGCTTCACAGCACCCTTTCGGGTGCGTGTGTGCGCCTGGAAGATGGTGGACTTACCCTTTCTTTGTGCCTATTATTATTCATTTGAATATAATTTTTACGTCACATTCAATGCAATACATCAGGTCACGAAGATTAGGAGATAGGGCAAACCCATCGAATTCCGCAAGAGGAAGAAGTGCGTGGAAAAACAAAGCAAGGTAAGATCGACGCCACTCCGGGGTTTTCCTTCGGTTCAGAAGCCGCGAAGCTCCTTCTAGGTTACAATATCGTGTTTACGCATCGCAGACTTACCTGGATGTATTTACCCATGTTGTCTTATTTCGATGAATTATAGTCGAGACTGACAATTACGAACCACCGCAAAGGATCAGAGAATGAAGAAAAAGGAGTGATGTTGACGATGGTGGTGTTGCTGATAAAGGATCAAAAGAGAGCCGCTGCATGCCTTTTTCATGGTACTAACGTCAAGGCCGTAGAAAATACGTAATCGACAACAAAAAAGTAGTAGAAAAGTAAGCAGGTAAAAAATACCGTGTGGCGATACCGAAAGCGGTCAGACCGTACTGCGTCGAGTCAAGCTAGTCGATGTTAGGTACTAATCCACGTTTTGAAATCATTACTAATACCATAGTACGCTACGTACGTACCAACGTATGCTACGACAACAAATAAAAGTATGACTTATTGGGCCATTCCCATTATTATAAACTCTAGATTTGATAGACTGACAGACCAGAAATTTATTACATGTAACTCTAGATTTAGGGTATTTAGAACTGGTCCAAGCATCCAAGAATTCAAAATACTCTACTTTTAGAGTGGAACTCACAACAAGAACAACAAGAAGAACAAATAAAACAGAGGAAGGAGAGGAACAATGTTTGAGTCCGTTGAAAGACAACTCCTACTGGTAAACAGTAAGGCCTGCCAAATTTAAGACTCCAAATGAAGACTCAGGCCGCCTAAACACCAACAAAGACTATATCAACAAGTGGCTCTTTTAAGAATGGTGCCTCTACTACTACTAGTAGATTACAAATATTGCCACACATAAAACAAAGATGAAGAATGTCCTGAGGAACACCAGTAATGCTAGTACTAGTAGTACTATTCTTAATCAGTACATTCTATTTCCTCTCTTTGTTGTAGCAAAGAGAGCAAGAAGAGGAGGAGTGACGAGGTCAGCAACAGCCGCAAAGAGGAGGCAGCATTTCCACTCCTCCATATCGACCATACTTTAATTTTTAAGATGGATGAAACAGGCAACAGAAGCCACAAGGCCACCAGTACAGCAAACAGCTATGCAAAGGAGGAGGACAAGGTAAAGATCCTCATGATGGAATTGATACTGGAGATGCTCCCTATTGATTGAGGAGATGCTCAGGACAACTTGGTCATGAAGCATGAAGCATGAAGCAAAAAATCTATCAGGAACATATATACTAACTCTGTGAAGAGAAAGAACAGCTTGACTGGGCACCCAAATATCCCAACAACAAGAAGGTACCATGTGAAGCTTTCACAGAAGGCCCACATCTTGACAGGTAAGAAGGCAAATAATGGTACTGGGATGAGAGGAGTGAGGATGAGGAGGTTTCAGAGCCCCCTGAAGTGCAGGAGGTGCAACTGCAGGAGTAGGAGCACTGAGGTAGAGAAGCACCACCAACTGGAGTACTAGGAACATCAATTGTAGTAGGAACTAACCACAGCAGCAACAAAAGACCAATTTACCTTCAAAACTCAAAATGAATTGCTTGTATTTGACAATAGCCCTTGTCATACATTGAAGAATCCTCCTTGAAGGTCCTCTTTTTGATAGGGCACCTCATTGGTACTAGTAGTTGATGTTGGTGGTGTTTGCTGTTTGAAGATGCAACGGATCTGGTTTTGTCCTACTATGGCACTACAACACTGAAATTGTACAAGTTGATCAGCAAGTTCAGCACCATGATGATCCTCCTCTCTCCAAGCTCTTCCCCCAAGAACATCTGATCTTCAATTCTTGGAAAGTGTCCTTGTTGTATCATCTGCATCCTCCATTCAAACATCTGTCTCAAAGATGTTGCATCCCTACTACTCAACAGAAGAAGATTGTCTTGCTCAGGGTCTTTCTGTGAGGTCTTGATGAGGATATGCTCCTTTTCCTTCAGTGCAAAGGCAGAATTCACAACAACCTTTGTTCCATTGCACAGGCCATCAACCTCCTGAATCCTTCGGTAGACAGCATTGTGATCCCAGATGGTGGTGCTCCTACTTTTGTACCAGGCCCTAGGGCAGTTGAAGACTGAGATCATGATCCTTCCATCAGGGGCAAACACAATACACTATTTTTGAAGGTGTTTTCTTTCCAGACGTTTTAGAATCGTCTCTGCTTGTACCACCAGTCTTCAGAGGCTTGGATGGCATTTTGAGTCTATCAGCAGCAGCCTACCAAATGCAATGTTCTCCTTGTTGCAGATACTGGTTTCCAATAGCTTGAATATCATAATCATCCACCACTTCTTTTCTATTTGTAATAATGCTTACCATGGCAATTGGATGTTTGTGAAGAACAAGGAGGAGCATTCTCCTGGAAAACTTGAGCCACTTGCACATCACTGTGGATGTCAAGGCAGATGCCAATGCAATTAATCTAGCAACAGATCCTCTTGTCCTGAAGCAATGAAGTACCAGCCCAATATATCAACTTCCCTCCTCTTTCCATTGGACTTCCCACTGGGATAACAAGCAACTTCTACAATCTTGTTATTAGCTATTGTTGTTGACAGTATACTTGTGGTAATTTGGAGCAAGAAAGACCTCAGGGAGGAAATTTCTGAAGACCTTGTGGTCTATGCCACTAGTACAGTTGAGGAGTGCTTGATCAAGCCCTGAGTAGAAGAGATGGTAAAAAAATGAGGATTCAGTAAATCTACAGATTTGAAGGCTTGGTGTTCTCTTTGTATCCCTCTTCGTACTATGTCTCTCTTCCGGAGATATTTTTCTTAAAAATAACTATGAGGCCTGACCCTCCTGGTGCTCTTTCAACTGAATGTACCAGTATATCATCATAATGGTCTCCATTGGTACTCACATGGTTGTGACCTTCCTCCTTCTTGCCAAAAGGAAACTCTGGTCTAATAGTGGTGCAAGGAACTCACAAACTTTTGATACTATGAGTATCAACAATTTGTGTGTTCCTTTTACTAGTAGTAGTGGTAGTAGTACTAGTAACGTAGTAGGATTGAAAATTTCATGTTTCCTTCTTAGTACCAATTGGGGCATGCACCTTTTTTTAGTCATTACATTGAGCTATAGTTGAGATTCCAAATTCCCAAAAAGACTGGCAACAAGCCAGCATTCCATAGCTTTCGTCAATCAAAAATTTGATTCCCATTATTCTAAAAACTTTGTATTCCTAAGTTTAGAGATTTAGGGTATTTAGAATAACGGAAATGACCCATTATGGTCAACTAGAACTACTCATACTATTAGTTTATGCTCCTACACATACTATTAATGGCATGATGATATCATCGCAAAACTGGACATGAGGGGTCTTCAAAACTAGCACAACACTGCACCAGGACACTACTAAAATTGTGCTCGCAAGAAGTAGACCAATAGTACTCCTGCATGGTATTCAAAGCCTAATGATGTTTGATAACTGATTTACTGATTTTTAACACTTACATCAGCTTTCGCACCTTCAAAAACTAGAATTGTTCATGAGGAGAAACGGAATGAATTTTCGCTTAATTCTCTAAGTTGTCTTCATCTTGCTTGAGCACGACAGGGTCGGTACCCCCACTCAGACCATTCAAGTAATCCCAGGTGTTTCTGTTTCCGTATGTTCCACTCGACTTTCGCACACTTTGACGGTCTATGATCGATTTCTGAAGTGCCTTTTGGTATTCTTCTGGTGACATTTCGTCCATTCCAGGGATAACGTAAGTGTTTGTCGTGTCCTTTGGAATGCTACCTTGGCCTCCATCTGGACTGTAGCCAGGACCTTCACTCATGTCGTCGGGATTAAAAAATTCATCATCTTCGGGTGATTCATTTTTTCCACTTGCCGCAATAGCCTCTGATGTAGGGATAACTGGTGCTGGTGTGCTCACAGCAGCAGTAGCAGCAGGCGACGGTTCAGCAGGGGGCGATTTCGCATCTTCAAGTCGTTCATATTCTTTCTGCTTCATTTCGTCCAGCACATTCTTCGACATGCCAACAAAGTTATCTACTTCCGCTGCGCCTATTGATCCTGGACCTTCCTGGATCCTCTTCTCTAGGATGAGTAAGATTTCTTTCATGTCGTCTAGTAAATCATCGCTGAAAATTTTGGGATGTGTGCTAGCTTCGCCCAATTCTCGCCTTGCTTTTAGTTGAGCTTCAACTTCCTTCGGAGTCATCGGCTTCTTTTTATCGGCAGTGGCATCCGAAGGTGAGGTTTCAGCGAACAAAAACGTGTTTGATTCAGTAGCTACTCTAAACGACGACGACGGGCATCTTTTTGTGGTAGAAAAAGCGGAAGCAACCGCAAGGAAAGAAATCGGTATGTAGATCTTCATTATGACAAGATTCAAAAGCTACCGATGTTGAATCAGCTTCTTCCGAATTGATTCGTTGGGAGAGTTGATAGTTGCTCAACTGTGTTTTCAAAAGAGGCAGGATAGGATTTACTACCACTATTATGAAGCCGTTCGATGAAGAAAGCTTTATTTCATGGGTGTGCGATTCTTTTTCTTGAAGGCCGAGAAACGTACTTGAACGTCACGTATCAACTGATGGATGCCTAACACTTTCTATTTCTTCGTTACCACTCGGTGTACGGTAGTGACGTTGTACCGTACTTCATTGATTGATTATCGTTAGGTATGTACGGTATGGAGCATATGGTACGTACCATGGCCCTCAGTTACTTTTTGACGAGAAAGTGCCAGTACAAGATACAAGATGAGAATAAATAAAATAGTAGTTTCCTGAAACCCCATTGAAGCAGGGAGACAAAGAACAAGAATTAAAATAAAAAATGTAATATTTTGTCCAAGCAATACTACAAATTTAATAATATTTGAATATGGGAACACTGGATGGAATAAAGCTTTCTTACTAAGAATTTGAAGCCAAGAACTCTCAGTGCAGAGCAACAAGAACACCACCAGCAAAAATTTTCTCTCATTTCCGTGTGATTGCGTACATGTATTTCTTTTTTCAGGAAACCATTTACGAAGTTGTAATTCTACTATCTTCCTTTGTTCCTCCATGTGTGTAGTGAAATACTTTAAACAACTCTACTCCTCGGTACTTCAGCTCTGCTTTTTTCAACCTGACGCAGTGTCATCAAATGTTTTTACTTTTTGAACACAAGTGGCGTTCCAGATGCCCAAACCATCAAATTAGACTAAATTCAGAATAATATCAAATTCATCTTACGTAGGATATCCCGGTAAAGTTCCAATGGCACATTCATCCCAACGCTGGCATCGTATCCATGCAGGTCGCCGCATGTTTAAATCGACCTGCCTTTGTTGCTCTGCCATCTCCATGCAAGCACCTGCAGAAGTTCCACTTGTCATATATGTCGCTTTCATCGCGTCTTCGAGATGACTAGCAGTCGGCGGATGCTCGGCTTTCGCTCCTTCTTGACCATTATTATTATTATCTTCCGACAATAGCATTGCTTCCATTTCATCCAGAGACATTTCACCAGAAGTTTTCGCATGTTCGACCTGGATGTTAATGCTATCGTCATTCTCTGTTGAACGGCTCAGCGGATTAGGTTCGACTGTGTTGTTTGTGTTGCTCGGGACAAAGGTGTTGTCGGAATATCCAAAGTTCGGGCTCACTTTGGCGCCAAGGATAGACTCTAGATCGCGAACTATATCTCGACTAGTCCCCATCGAGTCTGAGTTATTGACAAAGGAACGTCCGGAAGCATCACCGTTCTCACCATTGCTGTTATCGTGCTTCTCACTGTTGCAACGACGGCAACGATCCAAGAGACTATTCAGGGGGTATCCCAGGCTTTCCAAGTGATCTAGGTGCGCCAAAGGTAGGTCGAGAGGGTTGGAATTTTTTGTGGTGGTCGTTTTCACCGAAAAATTTCGGTCCAGTGCTGCCATAAATCTCTGGGACAATATGAGGCGTATCCATGCGTATAGAAAATAGAGTTTGCGAATGGATCCTGCATCCAGGCTCTCGTTTTCGCACACTGCGCTGCTATCCTCGATCGATAACACAAAATCAACGAGGTGGGTTAATATGCAGGCCGCGAATCCCGGCCAGGTACGAGTTATGACGTGAATCAGCGGAGAATAACGCTGCCAGCAGTTGGAAACACCCTGCGGTGTAGCCGGGAACGCAACTTCTGAGCCGGGGATCAACACTCCTCGTTCGGCTGGAGCTCCGCCAACGCCCCCCCACACTAAGTAGCGGACAGCGATCGCATAGCCCTCTTGCGGAGAAGAGACGGATTGCACAAAGAGTTTCGCACAATCATTTGGAGACTTTTCCCCCTTTCTTTTCTTCGGTACGTTTTGAATGGGTTTTCCTTTGTTTTTTTTGTCTTTGCCTTTTTTTTTCTTCTTTTTCGGTATGTCCAATAACAGGTACCGGTTTGTGTTGGTTCCAATCGATGATCCCCAGATCGAATTCACCACCGGTTTGTCAAGATTGAGTTCTTCCTTGGCGTCATCGTCACCTTCCTCGTCACTACTGCTCAAAATGCCTTCTTCTCCGAAAAGTGGATCGTACGGAAGGATTGTCGTTTTTGGCGGCATCGACGGCCTCTTTTTCTTCTGTTTGCTTTGTGTGGGCGGGGCAGCGTTACTGTCGTCGTTCCGAGCGCCATTAGATCTCGTGGTAGCCCAAGCGGATGCACACGCTTTGTATTGAACCAAACGATCGATGGGTTGCTGACCGCTGTTGCCATTTCTGGCAGATGAACTGTTGCCTTCGTCGTGCGAGATATTGCTACACCCGTTGTTCGGGATGTGGTTCTCGCTTTCGTGCGATCCTGCTGTTCCTCGAGCCGTTTCCATCGTTGCCATAGATCCCCCGCTGTTGCCGTTGTTGTTGTCGTCCCATTTCGTGCAGCGGGGAATCCAGAATTCCACCTTCATGAATTCCAGCAAGGTGGACGCGGACAGCCGCAATACCTCGATGCCGGGAAGGGCATTGTGGGAGCTCTCGTGGCGTGCGTCGACCAACCACGACGGGATTCCCAGCTGTCCGCACAAACTCGAAACGCTTGCCGCCAAAGTCCGTTGCTGCTGCAAGGAATCGGCGAATCCGTTGATGCACCGGGTGATTGCCGCAGAGTACGCGAGGCGCAGTTCCATCACGCTGACGCCGTTTCCGTGGTTCGGGGCTATCGTTTTCGTCCTCGATGCCCTTCGACTCCGTCGCAGAGAATCCCTCCAGTAAACCTGTGCAAGGGCAGCCGTCGATTCAACTGCGTGTGGAAGCCCACCGAGCGAAGCCAACCGAGAGTTCCAAACAGATATCATCGCAAAGGCTTCCTCGGGACACATTTCTGTCCTTGGCGGTTCTTGGGGATCGGCAGGGGTCCAATCCGCACCATCGTATTCCAGAACCGAAAGGAGTGCCTTTCCTACTGCCTCGAGTTCCCATTCGTCCCTCCACGGCACCACTCTAACGGTTTTGCGCAGGCGCTTGTTGAGGCGATTGAAATGTCCCGCTCGATCCATTAGCGTGTAGCTGTGTTCGCAGTGTTGGCTGTAGTCATACTGCGGCAACCGATCGTTGCTGGCGAGAGTCTCCCCTTTTGGACTCGATTCTGATGCGGGACCGTAGTAACTCATTCTTTGAATTGTTGTGTGATGAATTCCAACGCATGTATTGCTTTCACCACAATCGATGCAGTGGGTCCAAGACGTTCTAAAGAAAAAGTTCCCCGATCACGACAATTGCTAGAGATATCTTGCTCTGTAATGCATCAAGAGTCATCTACATAGGTGATGAGCGTCGATTGGTGGAAGCTTTGAGTTCTTCAATAAAGTGCGTACGAATCGATGTTGTGGAGATCTTATGGTGCGAACTCGTAGTCGTCCTGCACGACGTTCTCTCATTGTCGTCGTGCTGTTGATTCTTTGACAAAAGAAATTTATTCAAAATTCATTCCAATTTTGATTTTTTTCTTCTTCGATCTGAGTTTTCTCGAGGATGAAGGGTCGACCGACGACTGATTGACTGATTGACTCACCGATTCGTTCAACGTCAAGCCGTCACCAGTATGCGGAGTTTTATTGACTACATTGACTCAATGAAACCAGATACTACTAGAATTTGAGAAATTGACTCAACCGACTAGAAAATGACCATGGACGATAAAATAAAACGAAAAACCAAAAACCCTTTGGTCCATGTGCCCACCATATGGCTGTTCATCAGATGGAGCGGAACATGCTTTTTGTGCGTGCAACCTCCGCTCCCGGGGTTCTGTTCGGCGTGTCGTCCACGAAAGAATTATCGCAACGTCCGAGCACCGTACGGTAAGTACGGGTACTCGTACTTAGTCGTACACAAGGATGGGAATGAATTTCAAGTTTTTCGAAAGAACTGTGTGGTATCAAATCGCTAGGAGAAGGAAGAGAAGGCAGAATACGGGCCCCATCGTACATTACAAATTGGTTCTTCCTTCTCGTGTGATACCCATGCAAAACAGGAACCAGAGCGACACCAATGCACCGACGTTTGTCGGAAAGGTTCTCGTCTCTGTGTACGATGAAGGACGGGAGAGCTATGATTGTTATAAATTTGAAGCCTGGCATTTGGTTGAAGTCCCACACATGTTCTCTTCATTCTTCTTGTCTTTCCAGTGAAAAGAAAACGAAAACGCGTAAAAGAGAGTCGTCGATAAGCTCTAAAACAAGTTCTTTACGTGATTTTGCACAGACAAATATTTAATCACACAAGCGCATTTCGGTCGAGGGTCGAATACAGTACCGTGCTCCAAACTGCCAAGGAGAAGCAAGTGCAATCCAAAACACCAAGCAACGATTAAAGTCATGATCGTATCCGCTGCTGGCATTGAAATGACCGATCCAACGACAACACAAAGGACACGCATACGCCCGATGCTTTCACCCATGAAAATGAGCATCCGTTCTTCCTTCATTGTCTTCTTTGCACTCTTTTTGCCTCTTTTCCGATCTTCTACCACAACGAGCGCATGGTTACCGCAGCTGCCTGAGAACATTGGTCGAAGAGGGGTTCTCGGAAGCTTCGCTTCGGTTACCACCGGGATCCTGACTGCTTCCAAGCTAGAACCCTCCGACCAACTGGTGGCTCCCGATCTGTTTTCGTCGCAGCGCGTGCGTCTGCTTCCGCCATCGCCATCGCTACCGTCCTCGTCCTTTGATGCCTACTACATCACCCCCGTGGAGAACAACATTCGGTCCAAGCTCGACAAGATCGACAACAAACGGTTCCTCAACGAGTTGACTGCCCATTCGGGGGGGTCCATCTGGCTGGGCGAACACCACAATTCTCTCTCGGACCACAATTTCCAGGCGGCTGTCATCCGAGAGGTTCACCAGGAGCGAAAGAAACACCGCCGCTCGAGAGACACGCCGATGGCCGTTGGGCTAGAGCAAGTTCAGAGCCAGTTCCAGCCCATACTGGACGCATACACCAGCGGAAAGATATCGATCGACGATATGAAATTCATGGTACAGTGGGACCGACGGTGGAGCTGGTCCTTTGATAACTACAAGAAAATATTCGAGGTTGCCAAAGACCTTGGCATCCGACTGTTGGCACTCAACGTAGACTCGGAGGATTTGGTGCTCGTAGAGAAGGGAGGCTACCCCGGGCTGCCGATAAAACAACTACACAAATACATCAAGGACCCGTACGTATCGACTGATAGCTACCATTTTGCATTCCCTGCATATTTCTCATTCTAACTCTTCTATTCGTTCCGTTGCATTTCCGAATACTGTAAAACAACAACAACGACAACAACAACATAAACGAACAATTGCACGTACAGAGTCGGGTTTGCGGATTTTGCACAAACCGGGGAATTCAAAACCTACAACGATTATGTCATCAAGCCATCGTACGAGCTCCATCAGCGCCTGGGATTGCTTCAGTACACCGTGACGGGAGAGCAAATGGAATCGGAAATGACGTTTGGGAGGTTCCTGAGTGGTCGTCTGTTGTGGGACGAGGGTATGGCCTCGAAAGCCTTCTCGTGGTGTGCCAGCAATCCGGACGGACTCCTGATTGGTCTGGTGGGGGCGGACCACGTGAAGTTCGAAAACGGGGTCCCGGGTCGGTTTTCGAGAATGGCCCGAAGCAAGCAAATGGACACGGGGTGTACCACAGTGGTGATCAATCCGACACTGATCGACAGCAGGCCGATGGGAACGGTGTCTCGGATTCCCACGTCGGACTCGGCGGAGTACCCCGAGCGCATCACACTTCAGCTGCGATACACGAAAGGGGCCGGAGGCCAGTCGCCTCCCGATAATAGTGGGAGAGATGGCGTGCTGTCGTTTTCGAACTATGTTGTCGTCACGTAACAACAATGTCGGTGACAGAAAGCGCCAAAACAACAATGAAGCCATGGCGGAATGGTTATACATTAAAAATAACGTTACAACTCGTCTTGAAAAGGAAATTCGTTTCATAATGTTATAATAAATTTAAGGATGATTGTGTGCCTTTTTCCAGCAATGCGACGCATGGTGATTCTCATTCTCTCGAATGGTTATTTAACATTCGTGAAGCCCGGACTCATTTAATTCATCACCGTCGTGCACGATGTCAACGATGGGTGCTGACGGCCAACTTGAGTATGTGTTACTGTTCTCAATCTCGGGACTTTTGTCCCGGGGCGCAGCGTGGGGCTTCAAAATTCCGTTTTCCGAAGAAACTGATTTCCTCTTGCTCTCACTATCCCCACTCAAGGCTGTTTTAATGCTTTCGAATACGTTGGAAGATCGCCAGCCTGTCTTGTTGTCGCTACTGTCACCACTGAGGGTAGCTTTGACGCTTCCAATTATGTCAATAGAGCGCCAACCACCCTTTTGGTCGGAACTATCGCCACTGAGAGAAGCTTTGATGTTCTCAATCATATCGAGAGAACGCCACCCGCTTTTGGTGTCGCTGCTATCACCACTAACAGCTGCTTGTATGTTTTCAATCATATCACCTCCTACAATGTTTGACGATTCCGCCAAGAAGGTGCTTTTGAAACAGTCCAAGGCGGAATGTTCTTTTGGAGTTTTCCTCGTAAAACCTGCTTCGTCGTAGGTGTTATTGTTGGTGCTAAGTGGAGGTGGAATCGAAGGGACCTCGTTGTCTCTCATCGGAAGCGATTCTGCAATGCGAGAACCTTGCTTTATAGGTAATTTCGAATCGTTGTTTCCATCGCACATAAAGATTCCGGCAGCTTGATCTAACATTCGATTGGTGAACTCAACTGGGAGCCCAGCATTCCGTGATCGGTCGTGTAATTCCTCCATTTCTTTTGCTGACAGAGACCCATCAAAGTTAGGTCCTGCTACGGCCAAGAAAGTATTCATCATTTCAATTTCATTGAGAGAAGCTCCTAGTGGTTGTTCTTCGTTCCCCGGCAATGATACACTGCACCCACCCATTGATTGTCTTCTGCGATGCTCTGCTAGTATCCTACGTTTCCATCGTTTTCGCCTTTTCTCTAGCTTTTTCCGCTCTGCGTCTTCCTTTTCCCTTGAACTCGTCTCATCCCCTTCATCTCTACCGACTCTTGGTAACTCAGGTTTTCCAAAACTACTGCATCTGTCGATTTCATTCTTTCGATGCGGTCCAACATTAATGCTAAGGGTATTCATCCTGTTTTCGTCGTCAGACGTGGTTGATTGAGTGTCATCATTTCTCTCTTGTTCATATGAGACTGTTGTTGATGTTGGTCGCGAAGGAGAATTTTGCATGCCATCTGCGGAAATGAATTCTGACTTGATCGAAGATCTTGCTGAGCGTGATGATATTGACAAATCTTCTCTGTTGCTTTCATCATCTAAAAGTGATCCAACACACACCAACTTAGTCCTCCTCCCTTTTTTACTCCGAAATCCAGATTCATTACGCTCAATATCTTCATTCAATGATTCTCTTTGCATCTCGTAATCTTGTCTCGAGGAGAGCTTTTCTCCAGTTGAGCTTAATGAAGCATTGCTATCAGTGGCTTCATCGACTCTATGGACAAGATCTTGCACCTTCTGACCATCGTACATGTTTCTTGACTCGACAATGTCCATAGAAAGTTTAGGTTCCTCAATCACCTGTTCCCTGGCATCGACACTTTCTGCAAACCTCCTCGAAGATGCAATCGCCTCGACGTCAATGACTTCAACATCGGCATTGTACATGGGAATACAATTTGACCTTGTCTCAATCGAAACATTATGTATGGATGGAATTACGTGCATTGAATCTGAATCAATGCCATTTGTTATTTCGTCCTCTACACAGAGTTGTTCAATGCAGTTTGATTGATTAATTTGTTGTTGGGGTATCCTCAAAGCGACACCTCTCTCTAGGAATAAAGGATTTTTTTCGCTGTATTGATTTTCAATGATTCTCTCAGATTCATCTTGGATCTCATTCCTTTTAGTAAGGGGGTGGGCTGAGTCCAAAACTCCGTAGATGGTCTCGTTGGTGAGTGATCCAATATCATTCATATAAGTAAGCCACTCAAAGTCTCCAAGGTAAATCACCATTTTTTCTTCCTTCTGTAGAAAAAATTGGGGATATTTTCCTCTTTCACCACTKACTTCGAACAGCTTATTGCGTCGGTCTCTATTAGACTTWAGAGAACCATCAACTTCCTCAATATTCCGTATGYTACTTCCCCTTAAAATAGACATGGCTCTCTCTTGTTCAGATCGTTGTTTAAGAGTCCCAGAGAACTCGGAAACAAGAGCTACAAGTGTAAGCCCTGATTGATTGTCATCCTCTTCAATATGCATCGAACTAAGTGGAGAAGTTGCATACCCGGGTTTGACGGGGGTCATGTTTTCCGGAAATCCAGAATCGCTACAGAATGAGTTTTGTTGAGACATGTTTGATATGGCTCCGCCATGACTACCTCTGACATCGTTAGATTTTATGTCATTTTCGCCAACTGCTCCTGACTCTTGTTCCACACTTTCTGACAAAAGACCATTCCAATAGGCTTGGGTCGGAATGTTGTTATCATTTCGCAAATCGCGTTCTCGTTGGCGGAGTTTATAATATTTGATAAAGTCTGCAGCACTTTCAGCCACTGAGATATCTTCATGAAAAGTGTTTGGCTCGCTACTTGTGTACGCTTCTCTTGAAATGTGTAATTCTTCTTCTTGTCTACTGTCGATTGTATTCCCGTCACATTGTGCTTCTCCCGTAGAAACAAAGTCTCCTTCAAAGCAGTTCATACGTTGTTCTAAGACAACGTTGCGAGTAGAGGAAGAAATGGGTGGCTGAAAGGAATTATTTTCTTCTTCATGAATAACCTCACCATCAGTATTATGCAGATCAGCTCCATTCTCAGCATCAGCAGAATGCACGAATATGTTGTCTTCTGTTGAATAATAATAAGATTCTGGTTCAACTTTGTGGAACTCACGTTGATACAAATGTTGGTCCACTCTATAGGTCTGACGATCTTGTTTTCTCCCTGCAGTTTCTACTGAATTAGGTTGCAAGTCTCGGATATTGATGTTGTCGCTAAGACGGCAGCTGTCGAAGATATCATATCTACTCTGCTGCGGAAGTTCAGCATCATCGCCAACAAAAAATGGATCGAAGCTTACAGGAATTTTCTGGTCAGGTTTCTGACGAACTGGTTGGTTAAAAATTGCGTCTCCTTCTAGCCTATCCTTTTGTTTCCACAAATCGTTCGTTTTATCAATCCTTCCTCGATTGAAGTTTAAATTTCTTTTGGAACGTATTGTCTCGTCTGGTGTCTGTAAAACAGGCCGATTGAAAGTTTTTTCGTCTTCTAATCGACCCTTTCGTCCTCGTAAATTGTTCCGTTGTTGGATATCCCCCAACTCCAAATTTGTATTTTCTTTCGATGCTGTTATTTTTGTAGAATCTTTTAGAGCTCTTCCCATAAGAGGTTGCGTACTTTCGTCGTGTTCAATAGGTTGCCATCTAGAGGGGTTCCTAGCAGGAAATGTCAAGTTATCAGCATGAGTCATTTTTGAAGACTTCGTTTCATGTCCAAGCATAAGAGGTTGCTCAATCTCGGTACCAGATATGTGAGACCCCCATCCAGACAAGTCAATTATCTCCGATCCTTGTTTCTTTATGATAGGGGGAGTATTTTCATCGTACTCTGTCAATGGTTTCCAAGTTGCAAGATTTGGGATTAGACGAGATGTTAAATCCCCATGATCAGATGGAATAGTCGAAGAATGGGCCATGGATCCTCCTGTTAGAGGTTGCATGCTTTCGTCATGTTCTAAAAGTCGCGACTTTTCTTGAGTTGTTACCGTTGGATCATATTCTTCGTCATAAAGCGGATTATCACCGACTTCAAATGACTCCCATTTGTTGGGTCTACTAGTGGCGGGAGATGTTCCATTTGAGTCTTGATAGTTGATTAGAGGCCAGGCAGACCGATCACCCGTCAGTTCTGACGAATATTGTTTCCCTCTTTCGGCCTTACTTCTTTTGCCGTCAATCCGTTTCAATCCAGCTCGTAATGCTTGCATGGTCTCACTTTGAAGCTAGCGAAAAATGAAATCAACCACAATCCGAACCAGGACTTGGCGATAAACTCGAGGTTCGCCGAGTCTCCTTATGCGGCCACAAAGACGAATCAATCCGTGGTTTAAATTCTTTAGGTCGCAGAAGTGTTGTTTCAGTCTATTTTTTTGACGAAATGATAGAACAAGGTGGTGCTGTCCGTGTAGATGAGATCGAACGTATGATTCCCTGTTCGTACGGTGCGATACGGTACTATTATTATTTTCTTTAATTTATTCCAAAAGTGTGATAACAAACGTGCCGGCCGGCTTCTAACGAATAATAATCGCATACCGGTAACTCGCCAAACCTCATCAAGTACGATACAGCAAAAATTAAAAATAGTATTATTCCCGTACGTACGTACCATTACGCTACGTACTTTGTTACTGCGATGAGAAGTCATGAAAAAATTGCGAACTAAATATGGCGAATACGGGAACGAGTACATGCGAGATTTGTAGTCGTATTGTAGTCATACAGTAAATGTGAGGCTATCCTTTTTTGTTTTTTGAGTGTCCAGGGCCCCCTCGCGTCGCTCCACAACTGCGTACGGTAAATGCGATTTTTCTTGGGTACTGTAATGCTGCCGTGCGTGAAAAATTCATCATTAGCTCTGGCCGTCTGCTACCTACTCAAACCATAAGTTTTTTCAAAATTCATCAGTAACTTCGGAGATAGAACAAACCTGATATGCTTGTTGTGGTTATCACAAAGAACGTAGCAAACAGATGAACTCTTTGAAACTAATCAATTGTGAAGTGAGCGACGGGTAGACCATGAAGTCAAGTGAGGTTCGATTCTAATTTTCTTGCTTGCTTTTTTCGGGCCAACCATGATAAAAAATGATTGAAATATGCACTAGGTTTACTAGGTATATGTATTATGCATTTTTTTCATAATGCAATGATTTTGCTTTCGTCTTGCAATCTTCTAGCCGTGTGGGTTTCCGTTAGTCACCTGCGCGTCGACTCACACGGTGATACATCGAAATGGATCCCACCCTTAGCCTATCGCGTTTGCCCCTTTGAGCGGCGGTGCACACTTTTCTAATTGATTTGGTGATAGTTTTCAAATCTCCGTTGATAGATGGTACCGGACTTAGCCTAGAATCCATAACACACGAAAGACCTCCACAGCAAGGTTCGTCGAACTGTCCACCACAATCTCCATGCATCTTTGTGCATTGAGGGAAAAACTGAGGAGGCGGCAATTCGAGAATCCCCGAATCTTCGACATTGCTTGCAGCCTTGACACCACTTGTATAAGCAGCAACCGCAGTGCCATGCCACCCATCGGAATCAGTTGCCTCTCCAGCAAAGAATATGTTTCCCATCCGTTCGAAAAGCGTCTTGCGATAGCTACTACTATCGAAGCCTCCTGTATCCGCATCATAGGAATAAGCACCACCACTGAATTCGTCGGACCTCCATCGAGTGATAATACGCTCGGACGGTGCGGGAACATTATTTCCAAGCATCGTTCTCAGATTTCCAAGAACCAGGTCAATTGTTTCTTGGTCTGATAAAAGTTCAAGTCGGTCGCATGCATCACCTCCACACCAAGAGGTCAACACATGGTAATCTTCGTTCCCATTATGCGACTCATCTACATAAAAGTAGGTCCATTCGTCGGATGTCGAGTCTTCATCAGTAATTAGTTGCAGTTCAATTTTGCCTCGTGGCCACCACGAAACATCTTGAATGGATTTGTCCCAGTACATGATAACCTTGTTCATGTTGCCCATTCCAATCAAATCAATAGCTTCTAGCTTTTCGTCATTGAGTGGAGGAACAAACTCAATACTAGAAGATTTCAGGACACCTAGTGGCACTGTGACAATAGCAGAACGTGCGTAAAAGACTTGGAACAAAAGCGTTAAAAAATATGTCAGTACTCAATCGTCAACAATAGATGATTTTTGCTCATAGCTGTTGCACAGGAGAGAAAAATGCTTTACGTACCTCGACCATTTGAAGTGTAAACCTCAAGAATGTCTCCTTGCTGATCGACTTTAACAACCGGTTCATTCGTCTTGATCTTTTCAGCAAAATTTTGTGCAAGGCCTCTGGTTAATGCTCCTGTGTATCCCCCGCCAGTTCCTCCTGGAACTGCCATGAATTCGATGTCGCGCCAATCGCCTCTTTCAAGATATTCCTTGGTCGTTTCGGAATTTGTATCACTGAGAGGACTTCCAAACTCGATTGTAATGCCTGTTTAAAATGCAGGTACTAAGTGTGAGACAACCACATTTGAGAGACACGAATTGACGATTTCTCACTTACCCGCATGTACCAATGCATTTATGGATTGCCTTTCCAAGTTGGTCATGAAAGGATTCTCAGCAAAGTAGCTCTCCTTGATCTCGATCCAATCCACTTCGTTGGCGGAATTTTTGTCTGCATATTTCACGAAGTCCTTGAGAAAATCTTGATCAACTAAGATCGATTTTTCATCTTCTGAAAGTTCGCCGGTAGAGTTCTTGTACAATCCTATAGTATCAAACTCATAATGCGTTGTATCATGTGATATTCCAAGCTTTTCGACAAGGTCAAAGACATTTGTCCCGGGATAGATCCATCCGGAGCCCAGTTCAACCGGATGCCCACGCTTGAAGGCATCTTCTCTTGTGTAGCTGCGACCTCCAATACGATTTCTTGCCTCTAGGATTAAAATGTTTTGAGTGATGCCTGCTTCAATGAGGTAATTTGCTGCAGCAAGGCCCGACCAACCAGCACCGATAATGATAACATCGTAGATGTCGCTTGCGGCCACCTGATCATAACATAACCAGAGGGACGCGAGAAAAGCGATAATGATTTTCTTGGAAAGAATAGACATCATGGATCAAGAGCAACTGTAAAAATCTGATGAGTAAATGCATTCAGAGCTGTTATGAGTGGTTTGAGTTGAAAATGGAATCGAAGTAGATCGATACATCTTTGCCAAAAATATGAGTCGTCACGCGATACTTACTGAAAAATTATGGAAGTAATAACAGTGCACTTTCGTTACCTTTTCGTAATGGATGGCTAAGGAAAGGTGAACATGAAATTCACATGCCGATTGATGCATCACCGAGTTGAAACTCGATCAAATCCATTCAGTTTCCCTGTTTGTTTTTTCATCGACGGAGTATGCAAGTGCCAAAGATCGGAAGACAATGCGAAACCAAGTTTCTGCGGTATATCGACCCCGTCAATCGTGTTACCGGTGCGCCCAAGTCTAAAAGCTATCGAAGCGTAAAACGGTACGATACGTCGGGTAGAACAATACACATCTTCTACAAGAACCCAATCATTGGACGTTTTCTTGGAGAACATGTGGGTAAGTATTGCCAAATCGTAAAATCAAAAGCCATAAAGCACGTGCTTAAGAACACAACCCGTAGTATTTTTAGAAATTGCAGCGCAAAGCACGAGTTATTTTTCTACATTTTTTTTTTTCGCGTACCAGCTACTAACTGTACGACTTAAACAAGTTTCCCACGTGGTTTTAATGTATATCCACGTGCCCTGAATTTTTGCAGCATTGTTCGTCTGTAGTTCCTACTATTAGATGGTTTCATTCGGTACCGGTATTCCTCATCTACCGGTATCTAAACGTACTTTTTCCAGGACTGTACGGTACTCTAAACAGATTCCATACACAACGATAAATTCTGGGACGATCATCATTGACTATTTTACCATGCCAGGCACGCTACCGGGCAATACTCTGGCAATAAGAATGGTAACTTGCTGGCGCTCTAAACACAGCATTCATTCACGACCAATATTTTTTACGAGGACTGCAACTTCGGGGAGGGGGCTAAGAGAATCTAATTATTTTAGAAAATATTTATGGTAAAATGGTAGCTACCATCTTGCGACTATGATTGCTACCATTTTGCTACTATTTTGCTACTATTTTGCTACCAGATTGCTACCAGATTGCTGCCAGATGGTAGCAATTCTGGTAGCAATCCTGGTAGCAATTCTGGTAGCAATAGTTTCTTGGAGGTTCCGGGACTGCAACGCATATTTAAATGTACTATCCGGGATTAACAAAGCCAGCCAGCCAGCACGTCCCAGCTGCTCCCCTTCAACCAGCTTGAGCAAATCGATCTATTTGGACGTCTGCAGTACAAAAACTGTGTAGAAACCCCTGTAGAAAACAGCAAATCAAGGTACTTGCCTGCAGATTTTGGTCAAAATAGAAGGGTTTTGATTCCGCGTCCAAATTGTACTGTGTCTTAGTGTCTTTACCTTTACCTGTCTCCAGCAYGCTGATCCAGCACGCTAAACTGTTCTTTTCATTCTAAAGAAAAACTCCCCGGTTCAAAGCAACCGACCATGGGAATAGCTGTTTGAAGCACTTCCACTCACTCTTTCTTAATGATCTTTGTATCAGTCGATAGATCTCTTCCATTGTCGATTAAACAAGCCTTGAACTGTAGAAAAGGACCCAGTAGAAGTACTGTTTTAGTGTGTTACAGTAGCGACTCTTATTTTACGACGACTGCTTTCTGCTCGACGTCCACCATGGAACTTTCCAAAGACAGCATAGAATTAGTAGCAAAAGACATTCTTCGATGGCCTGAAAAGAGGAGATGGAATTCAAAGACAAAGGATAAGAGATTCTCATCTTGCTTTGGAGCTTCAAGTGAAATAGTTGCAGAAATCTGGAATAGGATAGCAGCTCGAGGTAATATTGCAACTGGTGCCCAACCAAAGCATTTGCTGTGGGCCCTTGTTCACCTAAAGATCTATTCAACTGTTGAAATCCACTGTGCCATAGTTGGGTGGCCTTCCCCGAAGGTCTTTTMAGAGTGGGCTTGGTACTTTGTGGCWAGGATTGCAGARCTAAAGGATGATTTGATTAGTCTCGACAACAGATTTGATGGATATCAAGGAGATATCCACACAAACTGTTTCATAAGCGTCGATGGAACAGACTGTCCTGTCTTTGAGCCTTCGCCTTGGACTAAAACAATGTACTCCCATAAGTTTAATGGGCCAGCCCTCAAGTATGAAGTAGGCGTTTGCTTGAAGACTGGTTGGATTGTTTGGGTGAATGGTCCTTTCCTTGGAAGTACAAATGATGCAACAATATTCATTGAGGGATTAGGAACGCTTATACACAGCGATGAAGCTGTAGAAGTTGATAGTGGATACACCAAAGATCCCAGATTCAAGCTTCCTGGAATGGGATTCACTAGTGAGCAAAGGAAGATGAAATCAAATGCTCGGGCGCAGCAGGAAGCTGTTAATGGAAGATTGAAACAGTTCAATGTCCTCACTACTCATTTTAGACACATGAAGCCAAACAGAGATACAATGATGAGGAGGCATGGACAGTGTTTCAATGCTGTTGCTGTTATTACACAGCTCAAGTTTCAGTCTGGGGCAAGGGTATTTTCAGATGGATTGGATTACAATGTAAATTATTTCTAGTAACAACAGCACACTGTTGGTCTCCAGCAAGTGAGCTGGATTCACGGGGTAGTAGTTGCAAGCAACAATAGACTGGAGCAATCCCCTGGAGCTGGCTTGCTGGCAAGTCGGCTCCTTCTGGGCCTACTGGAGAGGTCYGGAGAGGAACTGTTGAGACATACATAGTAAGGGAGATGGATGCAAGATCTCTCCACTACAGCAATAAAATACTAGTAGCTAGTAGTATTATTCCTACTGATGGCCTATCCCTTCTGTAATCACTGTTCTATGCTCCTAACACAGTACGTACGTATCGTAGGCTTCCAAGCGGCAGCATGCTACTACTACTAGTACTATAGCAAGAGACTCTTCAGTACGTAGTAATGTAGTAGTAGCTACGGAGGAGGTCAAGATTCACTAAAATGAGCAAACTGGCAAGGCTCCCCCCTTGGGAAAGGGATTTCTACGGCAAATTGCTGTACAGCTTGTACCAGGAAAGTTGAATTTGATCTATTTTGCTCTCCAGTTTGCTCCTCTGCTGCAATTCAATAAAATGAGCAAAATGGCAAGGCTCCCCCCTTGGAAAAGGAATTTCTACAGCAAATTGCTGTACAGCTTGTACCAGGAAAGTTGAATTTGATCCATTTTGTTGCTCTCCAGTTTGCTTGGTTCAACTACTACTACTGTTACCAGCAGTGCAGGAGACGAGCTACTACTAGTACTGCTGTTACTGCTGCTTGAAACGACGCACTCCATGATGGGATTGAAAATTCTAGTCCCCAGAGCAAGCATGCCAGCTATGAAGCTGGTCTTTGAAGGATTGCTCTACTAGTACATTCCAGTAACTACTATGACTGTGGCATTCAGTCTTGCTACAGAGAATCATTGGTCATTTAGTAAGCATGCTGTTATTGCTTTATTTTTGCGCCATCATGGAAATAACAAGAGGCGCTACTACATCTACTGTTCTTTGTTGAGAAAGTTCTCCATATCATCAAGGTGTGACTTAGCATCGTGGAATGCACTGATTGGGTCGATTCCAGAGGAAGCAATGGAGGAATCAAAAGAGTGGAAAGAGGAGCCGGTCTCCTCCATTTGTTGTGTGAGCTTGGTATCAACACCGTCAGACTTGGTGGGAGGAGGAGAAGGTGGTAAAGGTAACAGCAAAGGCGTCTCGTGAGTTGAATTTGTTGTTGTTTTAGTCTTCTTCTTCTTCCTCTGGTTCTCCTCATCCTCATTCTGYCCCCCCCCGCCTCTAGCTGGGGCTGGAGACCGAGGACGCGTCCRGGAACTAGTAGGAGGGGGAGACTTACCCATCTTGCTGATACCTCCTCTCTTACTGCTGATAGGAGACTGGAAAGGAGCTGCTTTACGAGCCTTATCCTGCTTTTCCTTGAATATAATTTGAAGGATCATTGCATCGCCTTTCTGTCCCCCCTCTATTTCAACTGGGGCAACAAGAACTTCTGCAACATAAACAGATGTATCCATCCTCTTCTGGAACTTGAGGTACCCCTCAGACCAGATGCATCCATCCGGTTCCTTGAGTTCCATTGCTTCAATTCCCATGCTAGTCCACAGCGCATGATCCCTTGGAAATGTTGGATAGGACTGTCCACTGTCGAGATTAGTTGTCATATCTAAATCAACCTGCGTCATGCACTGTCTCATGAAAGCAGGCCACTTGCATCTGACCTGAAAGGTATATTCATCTTTCCATTGAAGGACATAGTCTGATTTCCTTGCTCCGGTGTGTGTAAGCAGTCTCACCAAGGAATAGTGAACCATATCATCAGTATTATGGTCAAAGGTAGTCCATCTTCCGGAAAGAGCTGGATACATGAGAGATCCGGAAACCCACTGAAGTTCAATTTTATCAGGACATTTACTCTTCTTGGAGATAGACATGCTTCCAGTAAGCTCTGAAAGCATCTCATCATCTGTTTGTCGACTGCTCTTCTTTCGAGGCATGGGAGATGGTTCTTCGTCTTCGACGTCTGATTCTTCCGAGGAATATTCTTCTTCGGATTCCGCTTCCTCCTTCGCTTTGGTGGCAACTGTTGCAAGCTTCTCTTCTACTTCTTTGTATGGGTCAACAAGACGGATTCCTCTATTCTTTAGATCGTGGGCAAGTGTTGCCATACTCTAAGCAACAAAGGAATAAACGAGTGAGCAACAACGAAAGTACTCTTCCCCCTTCGCAACTCGGAACAACATACCTTCCCAATCTTGGGCCAACTCGATACTTTGATGTGCTGTTGAATGTAACCTGAGCTTCTGTAGTTGTAAACAGAAGAAGGAACGTTGTCAGGGTCCCAGCCTTTTGATCCACTTGTAATTAAATGGATCCAGAAGTTATAGCAAGCTATCTTCTTTGATAGCTCTAGTCGCTGGTATATTCTTTCTGGATTACGGCTTTGCTCTTCCTGACGCTTCCCTTTCTTTGACGCAGATGATCCTGCTCTTGCCATCATCACTATAAGAAATTATGAGGCATCGAAGCCCTTCATTGCGTGTTATACTACTACGGCACCATGCTTGTTGATGTTGCTCATGTTACTGTTGTGGTTGCTTGTTGTGGTTGCTGCTGCTGCTATCCGGGAAAGCAGTCCTGTTGCTGTATCGAAATACTGTTTAAAAAGCAGTCCTGGAGCTAAAAATTGCTTCACTTTTATGTGAACTAAGTGTTTACCACAACCGTTACCAGAACAGTTACCAGAATCTGGTAGGATTTATGGTAACAATTTGGTAACAATCTGGTTATTTTTCTGGTTTCCAGATTTCGACTAGAATTGCTACCAGATTGCTACCATCTTGCTACAATCTTGCTACCAGATTGCTACCATCTTGCTACAAGATTGCTACCATTAATCCTACCGGATTGCTACCACAAACGCTACCAAAATATAAGCCGCGCTACCATAATTTCTTTTTAAATTCTCCCAGCCCCCTATTAGTATGAAGTTTTGTATTGAGTTCGCAGGACTCATTTCAAACGCTTCATTATGTGTGTTAAGTAGCAACTGCCGGTTCCATTCCCGTAACGGGTCTAGTAGCAATGGTACGTGGTAAAATCGTCAATGATGATCGTCCCTGAACTGAGTGATGAGTAGTAGAAAAAATAATAGTAATAAAGTAATGTAATGTAATCGTTTGGAATTCCAATAATAGTAATACCGGTAGCAGCAATGCCGATCGCAATCTTGTCTTCCGAATCATATATGATTCGAAAATATGTTTATGCTACACATCGAAGTGGCTTTGGGGATTGCTACCAGTAGGTACGACTTTAAATGGGGTACGGTACTTCTACTGAATTGCTGTTATTTTTAGAGGAAACAGCAGCATAGCAGCAGCAGTAGTAGTGTTACTAGCAACAGAATGAAGTTGGCACCAAAAACTGAAAAAACAACAAAAGAGTTGGTACCGGTAGTACGAGTACTATCGTATTTCCTAGGAGCTATTCCCAGCATAGCAAGGAGGAAAAAATAATCAGCCAACGGATGGTGGACAAACCGTATGGCACATCCGTCCCCTCTTCGTCACCACTCATACTAAGAAACCACATGGAGGGGTACGTACGTACCGGACCCCTTCGTACCAGTACTTGTAACGGTAGCGTAGGTCACGATCACCGTGTGACGAAAAGTATCGTACGTACTCGTACGTAGCCGTACCGTAGCCATTTTTTCAAAATATTTTGCGTTTTCGACCCACCTCTCGAGGTCGGCATCTACGCATTCAATTATTATTAAGGTTAGAAGTTTTCGGTCGAATGCTTTTGAAGTCTGCTTTAGTACGTTCCGCGTAGTCGTTCTGCACGTAGAAATAGAAAGCAAACCCACAACTCAAGTCCATTCATTTTCGGATTCGATTGCCTTTTCCTTTTCTTCTTTTCCTCCCTTGATGAAAACAAAACAAAACTACTAAGTACTTCTACGAACTACTGTATGTACTGTACCTTTGAAAGTACATTATGTTGTACGGTACGGTACTTGCATCTCCTTCGGTTTGGGATCCACGAGTGCGAGTACAAGATTACCTTTCGGCGACAAGAGGAAAAAAGACAACGCAACCAGACGTGTTGTTCATCGAACCCAGTTTGTTCCAAATCAATCTTGCTCGAAACTGTTCTGACGACAAAGAAGCAAACGAAAGAAGAAAGTGACCCCGACGAAGTTTAGTATTTAATCGAGCCAAAAGATAATTATCACGCACAACGATGGCTAAAAGTATTCGATCCAAGTGCAAAAGAAAGAACCGATCCGAGTTTCGACAAACCATCGGGAATGTACGTTTCAAGGAAGCAGCTCTGCATTCCGTCACGGCTCTCTTTGTCGACACATGAATGTGACAAAAAGCTTATTTTTCATTTAATCTTTCTGTTTTCCCATTCTCATCTTTCGATTGCGTGGTGCGTCTGCGATGTCTCTCGCACAAATTTTGCAACCCCACAACAGGAATTCTATCAAAAGAACATGAAGAAGGTGCAGGACAAGCTCCGGGAATGCGCCGAAACACAGACCATGTCGGTGGAATCTCTCGAACGCTTGTCAAACGCACTGCACACAACAACACCGGAGGATAGCACGGCCGTGGAAGACGCGATGATGGCGGGCAACCAGGCCAGCATTCTAGAAAAGGCCAAGGAACATAAGGGAGAAAACAAGGCACCTACCAAAGGCGCGCACAAAAAATCCAGAAAGGGAAAGCACAAGAAAGCGACAATTGTGCCGGAAAAGAAGGAGAAGAAACGACCGCGGTACTTTGTTCAATTCTAGGTTGGCAGCCGTTCCACCTTCAGCTATCCGAGGATACAACACGCCTTGCCTGGGTCTCGACGACAGTCACTCGACTTTCTCGATTGGATACAAAGTTTCAATAACAAGATTAAAGTAACAATGAAGTTTTAGAATCGATTTTTTTTTGTCCGGTGCATAACTGGTTTTGGTGCGATTGATGTGCCGTACCCGATGGTTGTGAGAATGTTGTTGCGCAATGATTTTCTGTTCCCGGCAACAGGACAAGACTTTTTCGAGGTCGCTTTTCATTGCTATTTTGTGCTTTGCGAGATGCTCCAGCCCGAGTGCTCGATGGGATGGCGCTGCTCTCCTGATCTCGTCGCTCCGACCGTATTGCCGTGTGGATCCAGACGGTTCCACCGTTTGACACCGGGACCAACCAAACCGGATTTCGTTTCGTCCCGACAGGAAAAGCACCCGTGCGTGAAGAACACGGCTCACGGTTCATCCGGTGCTGCTCTCGACAGGCGAAACCGCTCGTAAAAGGCCTCGACGGCGGGCCGAGCCCTTGCAATTACCCCCGGGGGTGTGTCGATGGAATCGACTCCCGTCGAGGGATCGGTGCGAGTCGGCACGACGGGAGAATTTTTGTCCAAGACCCGGCCGACCACGGTCTTGTAGAAGGAGCGAACCCTATGGTCCGGAATCCGCCGGTAGTCCAGGGCATCCCCCGGCAGCATCATGGAATCGATGAGGTCGTCGCAGCAGGCCTCCGCCGCGGCGTCCGGATCGTGGCCGTCCTCTATATCGGCCGGGTCCTCGAGGATGGGATACCGAACGTCGCCCGCAAAGGGCAGCTGGAGAATGACCAATCGGAGGGGCTCTGCGGTGCTATCGCTCTGGGGTTCTAGCAACGGGAACAATCCACACAGGATCGGGTCTTTATCGACTCCCTTGACAAAGGTGGCGACGGCCACTTGTTTGGTGCGGTGGAGGGCCCTTGCCAGGGCCGAGATGGCGGCACAGCACCGCCGCGATTCATCTCCGGAGAGAACGTAGGGGGGGCCGACCCTCAGGTACTCCGGGACGCTTTCCTCGGTCTTGTACCCCAGAACGGTAAGCTTGACGGGCGACCGCTGGATGAGCCCGGCCTCGTCGAGGGGAGAAAAGGGCAGCAGGTCGCTCCCAAACCTGTAGGCGTAAGAGGTCCGGTCCCTCTGGAGTTCTTCGTTCTCGTCCTCGGCGTTCCAGTGCGTAGTGATGGTTTCGTAGTCCTGGAGCATCTCCCTCCCCTCGGCGTTTTTCCTCGGTGCGTTGCGATCGTCCACCTCGGCCAGCTTCTTGGTCAGCGGGAGACTCCCCGTCTTGGTAAGAAGCTTGTAGTAGCGCGCATCCTCCAGGACCAGGCTGGGGGCGAGTTCCACGATGAGTTTCCGCTTGGTGGGATTCTGTGCGGCCCGCGGCCCCAGGACCTTTGCGAGCGTCCCCTCGAAGTCCCTCGATGCATAGACGAACCCACCCGTAGCGTGTGCAATTCGGAGCAGGTATTCCTCATTTGCTCGCTTGATCCCGGGTGTGCAGTCGTCGTCCTCGTCGTCGTCCTCGTCGTCGTCCTCGTCGTCGTCCTCGTCCTCGTCGTCATCAGTCCCTTCCCCGCCGCTGCCATCGCCACCGATCGCGGCGTCGTCCGCCGGCTCCCGCTCGATCTCGGAAGGCCCCTCCAGGCGAACGCCAAAGTCGGCACCCTTCACAAAATCCATCCCCACCACCTGGATCGAGCAGTCCATGGCCCGGAGGCCCTCCAGCGCCACCAGGAGCTGCCGGGGACGCTCTTCCGTGCTTCCAATCCTGTGCTCGGCGTCCGTCACCAGAACGATCCTCCGCCGGTATCGTTTTCCTTCCGTTCTACGGTAGAGGGCGTCCGCGGCGTAGACCAGCCCGCTTTCGAAGTCGCCCCTTCCGCTGCCACAGGCTATACTACCAGGTTTCAGGCCGTGGATTCTCCTGAGGAGGCCCGGGAGGGGCTGCCGGATTCCCATGACCTCCCCGTTTCCGGAAAACTCCGTAATGTTGGGAAAGGGGCAATGCGCGGAGGAAGAATGTTCCTCCCCTCCGTCCCCCTCGTCCTCGCGAAAGAAGAAGTTGTTCGTTCGCTCGGTGTGCAAGACCACCACGGTGGCTTCGTTTGTTTTCGATCGGACCATGAGGTCGCTAAGGATCGCCATGCCCGCCTCTTTTGCGCAGTCGAACCGGGTCCTTGGCGCCCGTGCCGGAGGATCGTTCCCCGGATCGGTGAAAAGACCGACGCCCATGCTCTGGCCGGCGTCCAGAACCAGCACGACCGCTTCTTTGTTGGACATGTTGGGCTCGCGGTACGAATGTGCGATTCTGTGTTATGAAATGTTATGCGATGTTGTGCGATGCGGCGATTCGAAGGACCCCTGCACAGACCAACAAACCACGGGACGAACCCAAAACCGGGGGCGGGGAGCCAAATCAGTCAACTGCCACCAGGGTCTGTGGGATTAGCTTCCGGGGAACGGAGGATCACGCGGCCCGGTGGTGGACGACAGCAACGACTGTAATCATCGTTCTAGGGAGCAACGGTTGCACTCTCTAAGAAGTGAATTAGTCCACCGGAGCTCCGGAGCCAAAGTACGGATTTTGTCTTGGGTTCGAAACCTGCTTCTAATCTCGACAATCTCGACAACGGTACCATAAAGTTTGTACATATCATTCATATCATTCATACATACTACCAAGGAGCGATAGTGGTAACAATAGTAGTATTGATAGTAGTAGTATTTTGAGTAGTTGTAGAATCTACTAATTCTTTTTGATGTTATCTCTAAATGTTCTCACCAGCAGTCCTCTCTCAAGAAGTAAGAGTGCTGTGTTAATTCTTCTTCTTCTTCTTCTTGCCACCAGTACTACTACTGTGTGACGTAGTACTAGTACTAGTAGTACTAGTAGTACTACAGCACCAGCAGTACTTTTAGTAGTAGTAGTAGTAGTAGTAGCAGTAGTAGCAGTAGTAGCAGTAGTAGCAGTAGTAGTAGCAGTAGTAGTAGTAGTAGTAGTAGTAGTAGTAGTAGTAGTAGTAGTAGTAGTAGTGGTGGTGGTAGTAGTACTAGTAGTAGTACTAGTAGTGGTAGTAGTACTAGTAGTAGTAGTAGAAGTCAAGTTCTAACAACTCTTTAAAGCACAAGCACAAAATAAGAAATCCAATTGCTTGTGTAAGACCAAGTTGAAACCAACACAAAAAACATCATATTATGTTTAACCTTGTGAACTACTACTAGACGAGGTGTGGCTGACTATGTGGGCGAGAACCATAACTTCTGGTGGAGAGAAGAAGAATGCTCCTAGCTGCATTGAGGGCAGCGCCTCCCTCCAAAGACTTGCCAATATTAATTTGGAATTGAGTTCAATGTGTTCCATAGTGACTTCTTTGAGTTTGATTGGTAACTCTGGATTCATGTGGTTCTTCTTGTGGACACAAAATTTAGCTGTTGCTGCAGTGTTTTAGTGTTTTTGAGTCTCCTTCTTCAAGGACCATCTCTATCTGTCAAACAAAATATTCATCAATGTTGATACTTTCACAATCCTGGTACCCATTTTTCAGTTTGACAGACTTGAATGTACAACAAGTGACTCTATGATTTTATTTTTATTTTTCAACATCTATGTGTTATCATGACAGGTCTACCAACAGAAAACTTAAGCACTAGACCCATGTGTTGTCATCAATCATGACACAGGGTCTAGTACCAACATGATGCATTTTAAGCATTGGATTTATCCTTTTGGAAGGTTTGGTTCCACATGTAACAATGTCCTCCTCATCTGCTGATGTGACAGTTACTACTAGTAGTAAGCAGTATTTTTGAAAATCTGATATCTCTCCTGTATTTTCTTGTTTTGTTAATCTGCAGTTTTATGTTTGAGGTCTTGATTACAATAATAGTACTACTAGTACTACTACTACTAGTAGTAGTGGTAGTAGTACTAGTAGTACTACTACTACTACTAGTAGTACCACTAGTACTACTACTAGTACTAATGATTTAAAAAACAACATGAATAATAGGCAGTAGTACTACTAGTAGTTGTAGTACCGGTAGTAGTAGTACTAGTAGTAGTTCTACTAGTAGTAGTGCTGCTGCCCTGCTGCTGCTGGCTGCAAGAACACACAACAAGCAAGAATGAAGAAACAACAAGTCAAGAATCACTAGTTATGATTGGATTTGAAATAGGTACAACGAGAGCCTCTCCTCGTGGTGCTTCTGCAGGTGGTGGTCCAGGCAGGGGCAAGAGCAAGCCTCGAGCGCACCAAGCCGCAGATCTAACAACAGTACTAGTGGTACTACTAGAGCTAGTCAGCCCACTTTTGTATTGCCAGTAGTAGTGGTGGTGGTGGTGGTGGTGGTGGCAGCACGGCCGCTGCCGCGAAGCAAGCCCGGAGGAAGCTCCTTTAGAATAGCAACAACCTCCGGGCCCTCCAGGCTATCCACGGAGCACACCAGGGGCGTGGAGTGCCGATGACCACGGTGGTAGGTTTGGATATACCGTGTCATTCCCTTCTGGCCTACTAGCTTAGAGGCTTCACAAGTGGCACTTCATCACGTCTGTGTTTAACAAAACAGTTCACTAATTTATAACAACATGTTGCACATGTAAAACAAACAGAAAAGGGTTTGAAAAAAGGCGCTCGCGCTGTGTGCTGCGTGCTGCCGGTCCCTTTCCGACCATTCCCTCTGGTCGATCCTCTTTCCCGCTATCCCGTTCGAAGGCGTGCAGTCGCGACTCTCCTGTCAATGCCTCCCCACTATACCAGCTGCGTGATTTTCTCCCGGGGTGGACTCTCGTTCCGAACCACCGGGTTGTAGCTCTGTTCGTCGACGTGGTCTTCGAAGGTTACGTGCCGGGTTCGTTCCTCTTTTTGTCGGCAGTCGCTGTTTTCCTCCGGCACCAAGTCTGCCGCTTCCCAATCGTCCGCTTCCCTAGATCGCCGCCTCGATCGATCTCTCCGGCTCGTAGACGACGACCTGGCGTGATCGCCATCCCAGGAGATCGCCGAAACGATGCTATCGCCATCGTCTCTATATCTTCTGTTGTTTCTTCGGTCGTTGCGATGGTAATTTACACCGCAAGTCTTCGCTGTTACGTTTGCCAGATGAACAAGGTTTTGGCCGAGAAATTCCCATATGTTGGTATTACAATTGCCATCCTCGTAACCGCTTCTCCTACTTTGTTTTGCATATGATCGAGAGTAGTCGGCTGTGTTGTAGGTCTCATTGTCTCCTCCATAGTCACCGTCGAATTGGTGCGAGTACGAATAATCGTTGTTGTGGTAATTGTTTTTGCCATCGTAGAGTGATGGTTGCTGTTCCTGTAGCTCAGGAGGAGCAACAAAGGCCAGATTCTTCTCGTGGTTTTCAGATGGTTTCATGGTTGTGTTTAGCAACTGATCTACAAACTTTGGTGTCAGACCAACCTTAAGAGCCGCCGAACGCACGCGTGCCTCCGACTCCGGTGCAAGTATTTGTCCTCCAAAATCACTCGAAGCGACGTCAATGAACCGATTCAGCAGGTCGATCTCTTCCTTTGTTGCTCCCTCTGGTGCCTCTGCCAGATCATTTGGTGTAGGTATTGGAGTAGACAATCTGCGTCCTTCGGGATACCGGTGAGCAGGTAGTGGATCCGGTGGATCCATTCGATTACTAGCACAGGGTGTGTCGGCATCTGGATCCCGATCATTTGAGCAGTACGTATTTTGTCTTTCTACCTCGATCGCGTCCAAACATTCGTCTTCGTCACCATCCTCATCTAAGTCCAAAAGGGAACGGTCAAGAATTCTAACGACATGGCGTCGATCATGGATGTATTGGTTTTGGTCTTGATGTTGCAAGTGACCGGTAGAATCCAATACCCCGTTACTATGATTGTACGTGGTGGTATCAACGCCTTCTTCTGAATCGTTGTTGTACAAGTTTGAATGGGCATAATCATTCCCTGATGGCATCACGAAGTCATTCAAAGCTTCGTCGCCCATATCCCTACCGATTTGGTTTTCTGGAACTCGACGCGAATCCTCCGTATTGGTAGGCCAAGACACGTCGTGTGAGTACCTATTTCCAGCCTCGCCGTTTTCAATGGTAACTGTTTCGACGAGATGCGTATCAGACAAGACCGAAGTGCTCTTTTTACTTTCTTGATCTCGATTATAATCTCCCAATATATCCTCAAAATGATTATGCTGATCTGTTGTGTGGGTGGTTTGGCATGAATGTCCCATTCCATTGTTTCGCTCCGACGAGTCTTTGGGCTGCTTTCCACCACGTTCATACTCCGCCAGATACGCATTGAGTGCTTCAAAGTGATCATGTAGTTCAGATGGGCTATCTTTCCTTTCAATACTGTCTCTCCGTGGAACCTCATTCAAATCTTGTGGCTGTGCTGACTCACGATCAGATAAGTCTTCCATATGTTGGAAGTCTATACTCTCTTGGTGACGATTAGCATGAATTGCCTCATATTGATCAAGTTTTTCTGATAGAGCTTCTTCCCAATCGAGATTTTCTGCCTGAGATTGCTTGTTTAAATGCTGCGACTGTTCTAAATGATGTTGCAATGAATCTCTTTTTTGTTGTTTTGAAAAGTTTCTGATCTCTTGGTGTTGGATGGTATTCTGTGAATCGAGAGGATCGCTTCCTCCAGTTGGTTTATTATCCTGCTGAACCTCAACAACTTGAGTAAATTCGCTTCGATGTTGTGATCGTCCGAAGTGCTCTCCACGTAAGTTTCCTCTATTCTCCAAAAAGTCCCTGATCCCCTGACGATGATCTCTTATTGAGTTCGAGTCCTCAAGTTTAATACAGTTGTCCTTTTCGCTTGACAACTCAATGACGTCACTCTCTGATGATAGCCCTTGTGCATAATGAAATCGGCCCTTGTCATCAGCACTGGCTCTTTCATCTCGTCTATAAATGTTCGAACCTTTTCTTTCTTCGCTTGCTATGTTGGCAGGATTTCGGATCGATGAGATAGAATGTAAGTTCAGATTACTGAACTTAGTCTCAAGTTCATCACGAGCTACTATATCTTCGTCATGGAACTTTCCTGAAACTCTGTTTTTGCGTTCCAATTGATTCTCCGGTAATACTCTTTCACCCACATGAGGAACACATCTGTTATTGGTCTCAACAAAAGCAATGCCTCCCACTTGTCCCGCACTCGAGAACTCTTTCATCAAAAGGAAATCTTGAGAATTTTCATTGTGCCAATCAGAAGAGTTCGTTGTCTCCTCCCTTTTGTCTGTGTCTTTATTTGACGTTAATGGGGACTGGTTTAATTCCAATTTGTTCTTGTCCTTGACATTGCTTAAGTTGTTGTTTACTTTTTGGTGTGCATTGGATTCTCGGAGGGGACTATCTTCAACATCAGCGTTGTGACTGAAATTTGAAGCAAATTGTTCCCAGGAAATATGCCCGTAGCTTTCGCCTAGAGAGCTCATTTCTTTTCGAGTTTGTCTATTCGATAGCGGTTGGTGGTCAATGGATAAAGATATTTCTGCTGCTTCAAAAGAATGTTCTTTGCATTCTTGCTTGTTGCTTGTTTCAGCTCGAGGGTAAAACTTTTCACCGTTTGGTGCATTTTCAGATCTGAAATTCCTATAACAGGAGTCATCATCAAAAAGGGGTGACGAAGTCTTTTTCAGAAGAAGATTCTCGAAGTACGCTTCGTCATCGGAAGAGGACTGATGAGCTTCCTGCGAAGAAACATTTTTGAAAATCTTATCTTCATGAACGCAAGATGAAGAAGATTTATTCAGAAGTAGACTTTCGAAGTACGCATTTGCTTGGCTACCCATCAGCTCTTTTTCTTGAATTAGCTCGGGTGCATGGCCTCTTACTCCAGTTTTGACTATTTCCTGAGACTTAACGTCAATATTCGTGCATTCTTCGTTTCGAATTTTATTTTGAGGTATTCCCTTCTTTTGACCGCTTTTAAAATCCTTTTTGTAGTTGCTGGAGGTACCTAGTGCCGATGGGTTTGAGGGCAAATCTTTATTTTTCCTGGATTCTGAGGAGTCTCCACCGAATGGCCTTTCTAGAACTATCTCTTGATTTGGGATTGCCACAGCTGCAAAGTCTGAAAGGAAAGCATTCGGAAGATCTTTGTTGGTATCATTCTCAAGAGTAGAGCAAGCATGATTTTGTACATTCCTTTTTTGTCTCGGTGTCTTTCTTCTTTCCTTCTTTTCCATTGGACCATTATCCTCTGGAGAATCGCATTCTCGATCTACGTTCGACTTTCGGGTTGGTTGCACTCTTTTTGGAGTCATGGTATCTCCGACTTCAAGGTTTTTTATCTCTTTTTTATTTTCGTTTTGAATCACGCTCTCTCGATACTGGGTACGAACTATTTCGTTCGACTCAAAATTGGCCCAAGACTTAAATTTTGTCTTCATAGAAGTGTTCGAAATCTCTCTGAATTCGACCCTTTTGGGCGAGGAATTCTCAACTTTCTTACTTTTCGTTCGATTGTGGTCGAACGTGTTGTCTTTGAAATGCGAGTGTATTCGTGTTTCTTCGTGAAAAGTAATGTTAGAATCAAAAGCAGCCCACGCATTTTGATCCGATAGCTCAGAAAGATCAATGACGTCATCAGTACAAAGGGTAACTTTTTGGTCTTTCTTCGTGGTAGACGTCGTCTCATCCTGACATGGCTCAACTTTCCTGGGTTTTGTAGGAGGGGGGATAGGGACTTCATCGCTGTCATCAGATTCACTGTTGATATAGGCGAGACTAGTATGAAGTTGGTTATGGGCCCCCATAACCAAATCTTCGACGACTTCAATGGTGTCTGGTTTTAAGAAGTCACCGAAAGATGATCTTTTGAAACTTTTGTCACTTCGGGTGTCTTCAAAAGTTAGGAAAGAAACACTTTCGCAGTTTTGATCTCTAGGAATATCGCTGTAGTGAACTAAGGAAGAGATTATCTGTTCCTTAGGTGTTTCCTTCTTAGTATACTGTGCATGAAAATGCAGCTTTCTCGAGTTATCTCTCACATCTTCATCTGGCCCGTCACTCAACCGATTAGGCGTATCAGATGCTAATTTGAAATTTTCGGTAAATATGGGTGGGTGGTGTGCACCTTCAGATTCGTCGGTCGACGACAACTCAAGACTGTGAGGTAAAATCAATGGAGTACAATCAGGTGCACGCGCCTGACACAAGTCTTCGGCATCGTTTCCAGAATGATTACTATCGCAAAAGTCGTTGTTTGTGACGACCTCGTCAAAATCGACCCTCGTTGATTTGATAGCAGAATTTGGTTGGAACTTGAATTCGGGATCTTCCGCATTGCCCAATCGTGATTGTTCTGTCCCAAATTGAGCTCGTTGTATTCTAACAGTTTCTTCTGCGTAGCTTTTATTCTGGAAAGAGGAGGTTTTATCTTCAAGCACTGAGTGATCACATTGAGGAGCTCTCCTTTTTGTACAGCCCTTACAGTCCTCATCTGTCACGTTCTCTTGATCTCTTGTTGCTCTAGGAGATTCCTTGACCCTGTTTTGTTTCCTGTCTTCCATACCACTAGCATTGAAGCGCTTGATTTCAACTTCATGCTCTGAAGACAACATATTATCGCATTGTCTTTTTTGTGTCCAAGTAGCAAGGACATCTTGTATTTTTGCATTCTGTCCTTTTCGAATCGGTTCTGGTCCTACAGCAATTTGTTCATCTTTTTTCTCAAATACGGCTCGTGCTTGCGATACTTTGTCAGACGATAAAACATTTTGATTCTTAGCTGCCTTCTTTTGTTTGGATGAATATAGATTGGGTTGCGACGAATCCACGCTAAATAATTCCCGTACTTCTGGTACATTACCAGATCGCAAAGCGCTTCTATCTGAAACTTGATCGTTTTGTGGTGACTTCTGTTTTAGTTGCGAGGAATCTGCAGCAAACATTTCCTGTACCTTTGATACAGTAACAGATGACAACGTGCTTCTGTTTGGTACTTCCTTTATTTGTGGTGACTGTTTGGATTGAGAGGAATCCGCATCAAAAATGGCTTGTACTTCCTGTATTTGTGGCGACTTCGCTTTCAGTTGTGAGGAATCCGCATCAAATATAGCTTGTACTTCTGATACATTTGCAGAAAGTAAAGTTTTTTGATTTGGCACTTGCTTTGTTTGTGGTGACTGAGTGGGTTGTGATGAATCTGCATCAAATATAGCTTGTACTTCTGATACATTTCCAGATGGCAAAGCTTTTTGGTTTGGCACTTGCTTTGTTTGTGGTGAATGTTTGGACTGAGAGGAATCCGCATCAAATAAGGCTCGCGCTTGTAATACATTTGTAGATGGTGGGGCTTTTTGATTCCCCACTTGCTTTATTTGCGGTGACTGTTTGGATTGAGAGGAATCCGCATCAAATATAGCTCGTGTTTGTGATACATTACCAGATGGCAAAGTTTTTTGGTTTGGCACTTGCTTTATTTGTGGTGAATGTTTGGATTGTGAGGAATCTGCATC